TTTTTCTTCTCAACTTTTTAGGGTCCTTATCTAAACTTTCTTAACTAGGATCTAGATTATTCATTGCATTTCATAACATTTCAGACTAGTTATTACTTTATAATTTAGCTTGCAATAACACAAAAGCGCCCAATGCTTGAATAAAATTAATTTCACACCCCTTTAGCAGATGTTCCCTGGAAAAACAAAGACATTTTTGAAACATAAAATTATTATGACCCATATGTAAATCAGTCTAGTAAAAGTCATTTTAACTAATATTTTTGATGATCTGCTGCAGTCAAGTACCAAACAAATTCCTCTGTGTACCTCCTCTCTCAAATATGTCCCATTAGTTTTATCTGTTGGGCTGAAAAAGGACAGTAGTGCAGCTCTCATGTCATTGGGCTAATTTGTTCCCCTGGTGCTGTTATCTGATTGGATGGCACTGCTGGGATTGGCCTATCTGACTTTTCACATCACATAAATATAGTTTACCAGAAGCCTGTGTAAACATGACTATTTAAAACTCTAAGGAAAACAACAGGAAAGGTTTAATTTTTGTGTTTTGTAAACATTTGGTGTCATCAGGTTTTTCAGTCTGGACATCAGTTAAACACTTACTACATAAATCAAGGCAATGCAAACATACATTTTGGACAACCTGAACTGGATCTAAGTCAGTGCAAACAAATAAAGTGTAACAGAAGGTGATTCACAGCCTATGTACACAAACTGTGCTTCCAGGTTTGGAAAAGTAACCTTTTATGAATCACATATTGGAATCATTTATCAGTTGAATATAAAAATAACAAGATGAGGGAAGTCAGTTAATGAGTACAAAGGGTAGGTATCGGTGAAGTCAACCCAAAGTAATATTAATGTTGAAAAAAATATAAATCCTGTTTAAAAGTAGTAGCTGTGCAAGTCCTATACTGAAAGAAATGGCTTCACAGTACTTCATGTAACCTTTCTAATGGACAGTCACTGGTTGGTGTCCATGGAGATGCTGTTGCTGTGTCTGTCTAAAGTATGGCTTAACTATTTATAACTTATTTAACTTACATATAACTTACCCATCTCTATGGAGAGAAGCCTGTGACGCTATCAAAGAAAGTTACGCATCAGATCTGTGGCAAGGTGACCCCAATCATAAAAATAGCATCTCTATGAAAATAAATAGGTTGCGGACATTCCACGAGAAAAGTTACATAGTGTAGCTTTAATGTTACACTTGACATCCCATGGCAGACGTTCGTGGCCTATACTCACTGTAGACTTGTACTAAACCATAAGGGCATATGCCTTTATTTTAACTTGATTTATTATGTTACAATTAAAGGATGAGAAAGGAGGAACATGAAAGAGAAAAACTACTGCCACAGCGTCAGAGAGGGTGACCTGCTGGAAAAGGGCTGGGGCAGCAGAAATTACAGGGCCAGCTCCAAACAGAGCAAAACGGGAGTGTATATTTGAATAGTGCAGATCTGAGCGAGATTATACAGTAGGATATATACATAGAGCTAAATGTAGACATCTGTATATAAAACAATTCTCCTTCAGCGGGTCCATGTCTCACTTTGATGTGTTCTCGGACTGGAGGATTTGGGAGAAAGGATCATATTGTGTTATAAAATGCATATATACTGAGCCATTTTGGGGTCAAATTAGAGAAGACTGTACCTATGAATATTTGTATATATTGGACTGTATTTGACACTCTGTTTGTACAAACAGGCTATTTGTTTCTTCACAGATTTGTCCTACTCCCAAACATTATTTATTCCGCTGAGTCTTCATTCCTATCATTATCTATGTAATTCTGAGTGACATATGACAGCTCTACAGAGGTGTAATGCCCCTACTACACAAAATGTACATTCATGAAGAGATCCTAACAGGTGCATTAGTCAGACAGGTGCACTGATCAGACAGGTGCACTGATCAGACAGGTGCACTGGTTAGACGTCACTACACCTCATGAAACAATAGTTAAGTTTCCTTTGTGAGTTTGTAAAATTCAGAAACACGTCAAGTCTCTCGAGAACAAATTAAATGTTTACATATGGACAACAATGCATGCATATCAAAAGAATAAATTTTTAACACTTTGCCTGTATAGATTCAGGTAATAATTTAAGTCGAACTGAATCTTTGCATATACATGCAAAATATTTTCAAGCAAAATTATGCAAACAACACTTAAGGAGGGAGTCATATGCAAAATCTAGGGCGAAGTCAGGTAAAATGAGCCACATGGCTCAGTAAATTTTCACTCCCAAGACTCTCAATTTATTCTCTTCACTATTTCACAAAATACAAAACATCTAATTGGTGTGTGAGGATTATTGTGGGAGAAGCCACACTTGACTATTTTAAAATGAGCTAATGTGTAAATTGTGTCACTATGGTATCTGCTGAACATTCTGCCATAATGATACATATAGACCACTGTACTCATTATCTCACTGCAAAGTAGAGAACTGAGAAGACACTTGTACCTTGAACATTGGGAGAGGTTGGAAGAGTTGGCTTTCCTTTGAAAATACACTACTTACGTGTGAATATTTTACCATAAATCTAGTGTTGTGAGATAATAAAATTGCGCGACCTTGTGATATCATTAAGCTGTATTTTTCATGGTCACTTCCAGGTCTGACATCATCCACAAGATCTAGTCAAGGTGTATGGAGTTTAAAAACACAGTGGAGACTTTCCTTTATACCACATTACATCACAAGGTGGAGAGGAGTGTTTTCTGTTTGAGAGACGAACAGGGTTTGTGTGTTAAAGGAGTGAATGAAACAAAGAAGATTTGGTTTCATTTTTGACTTGTCCAGGAGCACTAATAATTTGAGAAAAGACTGAAATGTATCTTGAAAGTTAATAGCATCGTATGGTTAGACAATATGTAATTTGAATGTTCTTAGAAAGGACATTATATAACTAAAATATGTATTGTGCTTGCAGTGACACACCCATTCAGTTTCTATTGTATTTCTATTAATTGTTCAACCCGTATGTCTTCAGTTTGTTGTCAGTCTCCCAGTGGACAAATGCCGTAGTCTTTATCAGGTCGTCTAGTACTCGTCTGTGTTAGGTCCTTGTGTGTCTGCCTCTTAATGACAGGAATCCACTGACCCTCTAAATATAAGCCAACCTAATTATCCAACCTCACTCCCCTCACTGTATGTAAACATGCCAGCGTAATATGATTTTCACATTTTCACACAATGCACTAATTTTCTAGGAAGCTCTGAAAGGATTTCCTGTGTTTAAAGTCTACTCACCAAAATAGATAGCACGTATGGCTAACATTGACTGCCTGCATTCCAGAAGTATTCTCAGTTTTATAGTTACATTTACTTTAAAGGTGCACTATGTAACTTTTGCCATATGCTTGGAGCTATAGAGAGATTTTTGCTTTGCCCAACATTTTCAAAAATATAACAATAAACATATTCATTGCATTTGTGTTAATTACAGGAGTTTATTGCTAAAAATAAGCTGAAAAACATGTGTTCTTACGATGATTGGGGTCGCCTCTCCCCAGATTTGACTTGGCTACTTAATGCACGGCTTTTTTATTTACTTTTTTATACAATAGTTGCCAATTAATGTTTGTCGCATGTTGCCAGTTACATACATTTTTGATGTTTGATACTTTTATCCCAAAATTGAAGTGGCATTTTGCATTTTGCGTGGATGCACCCATATTCAAATAAAAGTATGGCTGCTTAAGAAAATAATACATACATGAAAGTGAAATTTTAAAATGATACATATGATTTCTGAAAACAATACTTTTTTTTTTTTTTCAAAAACCTGCTCAAGTAAAGGCAATTGATCATTTCCCACCCTTGAGTACGGTATTATTTTGACAGTTTTGTTGAAGAAATGTGTCCTTAAGGTGTCATATATATCTTTATCATCACTAAAGGATGCCCCACATATGTCAGTGGTTTGTAAAGCCAAGTAAAAGATTGATTTTCCCCCTCGGACAATATCGTGCCGAATGACCCGAACCGGCCAATCCTGTGCTGATGTCTTCTTTTCTTTTTCCTCTTTGAAAAGCGGCAGAATAAGCTGAAACCCTAGTCCATTTGTATTGTGGGGACAAAGAGAGCACATTGTGGCAGAGGAGAGAGAGGAGGGGGTGGGAGGGTTCAGGGGAGAGGGGCAAAGACCAGAGACCCCCGCAGAGTGGAGTAACACAGGCAGCAGTAGCACTATGGAAGCCCAGTGGTCACAGGGGTCAGATAGTGTTGTTGTTTCCTTCAGTGATGCATCTTGGGGTGTTTTGTCTTTTTTTATAACAAAAAATATGAAATTATACTACAAAGAAAAGAGTTAACATGCACAAACACATGACGTCATTTAGCATTTTGACTCCTCATCTGTTTTATCACTGGACAAAAGAGAAGAAACTGTTGATCAAGTTTGGATAACTAACTTGCTACTATCTTTTTATTGTTTCCTTCTTTTTATTTCTCGACTAATGTTTGGCTTTTTGGTTTGAGAGTTTATTAAAGTTATGATGTTGTTTGTATCGCACATTTTGGTCACCTGCTGGGTTAGATTGTGGTAAATCTGTATGCATTTAATCTTCCGTCTATTCGTTTTCTATCCGGAAGTTACGTTGACAGCCAATTGTGAATACTGTCCCGTGTGTTTTGGAGTCGCAGCGGAGTGTATTTAATCCATTTATCCAGCTGTATGATGTTTGAACAGGGCGGGGGAAGTGTAGAGTTGTTCGGGATTGGGAGGGAGAGAAAGAGGGGTGGAGGCGGAGGAGAGAGAGAGGGGGAGGAAGGGGGAGAGACGGGGAAGCCAGCGCTCTACCTCTCTCACGCCTCAGCAGTCTGCTCCAGCTGTCTACAGATACACTGCACAGGGAGAAACAACACTGGATATACCAACCACAATGACACTACTGCACTTACAAACCAGAGCAAAGTTTGGGGAAAGTTTTTTACATTAATGTATTCTGGATATTTATTTCTTGGATTACGTTTGTCCATATGTTGTCGATGAGGAAAATGCACTCCAGGGCCAAGTCGCGGAGCTGTGACAACTACCTGAGTATAAAGGTAGGAGAAATATGCTGGCATGTTTGACAGTTGGAGGCTCAACTTGCGTTTTAAGCTGAAATTTAATTTGATTCAATGCTTTATGGTTGATTAGTTAGCTTTCTTTTTGCTCTGCAGACCATGACAGCTGCTAGTATGACTTGGTCCACAACTATGTAGCAGAATATAGGTTAGTCAATAATATAGTGAGTTGGCTGTTTTAAAATAGTCAAACTTGATCTTTGGTGTAAGTTGTACAAAGTTTGAATGGTTTGCGTCATCTTTATAGTAATGATTATTTTATTTAGTATTGTTTGCCTATTCTGTTACATTGTTGTGGTCCATATCGCATTAATACACATTATATACATATTTAATGAGCACTTTCTGTGTTTGTGTACAGAATAGTTGAAATGGTATGTTATGTTATGTTATGTTATGGTTGTGGCTTTTAGTAATAATGCCATTGTTTGTGTCTGCTCTGGACCAGATCACATTAACACTATAAGTTACTATGCGATTTTTGGTGAGAACTAAATCAGAAAAAAGTACAAAATAGTTAAAGTTGCCTGTTGTTGCTTTTTAGTAATGTTTCAGTTGTTTTGGTTTGCCTGATTTCTATTTATAGCCTGGAGGTATCAGCAGACTTTGTTACTCTATTGTCCCCATGTCAGTGCTCATCAGTGCCCAGATTGATGTAAAGACCTACATTCACCTTCCTGTTTTTGTTTTTCTAGTTTTTCCTTTGATTTTGGCAAAAAACACAAAACTACAAAGTGGATTGTAGTGCCCAGTTTGCTTATAAAGAGGTAAAAAAGTAATACCTTAATTGCCATTGTGAATAAACAAATATTAGCAACTAGGAATTAGCTTTTTTCTGATATATATTACATTTACAAGACATAACTGATAATAATAGAAAAAACTGAAATTAAATATGCATTATAACTGATTCTTATTATGTGTAATCCTTAAGCAAACAATTTGATGATAAATTATCCAAACAAGTCAATACAGGCTGAACTATGTAATCTCAATGTTTATTTATAGAACTGAAAAAAAAGTTTTACAGATATATTTAGACTATAACTTTGATGTTTATAGATTTTTATGGACATGCAATTCAGCAAACTATAAAATAAATAAAATGATAAAGGCACCATATACTAGGAGGTGGTCTCGGTCATTATCTGCAGACAGCCTTTATTATTGCAGCCCTCACTGTCAGCTAATGGAGCGTGCTGCGTTTCACACAAGTCACTGCTGGCCCCGGGTTAAAGTTTATCAGCTCTGATAACATTTACTGAAGGGTCTCTGTACAATGGCTTTACAATATCCAGTAGTTACAAGATAGCACAGTGGAATTTCTTCTCCTGGTTTGACCATTGTAAAAATTGACATTTAGACTTCTTAAATATTTATTTTATGTTGGGACATTTTGAAAAGAAACATGGATTATTTAAAGCATTTGACTACTATTAAGATGTTCTTATTGTAGATGAAGAATCATACTTATACTGTGATAATTTCTTTATTATTAATCTATTTTGTGAGGTTAATTTATTGCACAAATGTGCACTGCAATATTAACCACAAAAGTAGCTTGATTAATTTCTTAATATTCAAATTAAGTATATCATCAAATCAACTATACTGCACAATGCCCACCTCTACACCAGCAGTACCATTTCATAAAAGCTTGCAGCAGGAGTCATGTATGTCTTTATTATTGAGTCTAACTTTAGTGATTGGAGCAGAGCAACAGCCTTTGTGCTCCGCTCCCTCGGAGAGCTCTGTTGGGGGCTTGGGGGCTCCTGTTACACTGCCCTTGTGGCTTCATGCTTCACTGGAGGCCTGGTAGGCAGTGCCTTTTGTGTGCCTGACCACAAAATGTGTCCATGCTCACCTCTCTCTCCCCTGGTTTGTCTTTCACTCACTCTTTTTGCATGCCCTCCATCCTCCCAGCCCTGAGCCTCCTCTGACAGGTCCTTTTATTTGAACATATGTGCTCCACAACTGGTGCCTTTTGAACTGTTTGTGCTCATGTGTATAGTTTTGACATGTATCTTTAATAGTTTTAAAAGTTGTACTGCATACATTTTTGTGGTTGAGGGTATGTCACCTGCTTGTCCCTTTGGAGATTGTATTCCTTTTGTTAGAATGTTTCATAGTATGGCATTAAACTTATCCATCTCCATGGAAACAAGCAGCTGACAGGTTGACAGGTGAGATCTTTGGAGAGGTGACCCTGCTCACAGTAAGAATGTATCTTTAAGTATAAAAACACCTGTAATAAAAAAAAAAAAGCTAGATAGACAAGTTTAATGTCATACTGTGGAACATTTTAAGCAAGACAATGCAATAATGGGGACAATTAAGTGGCAGATCCCTTACTGCAACAGTAAAATAAAAAGTGAAATATATTAGTTTTTAACAGCAAGTATACTTAATTACAGTACATGTTGTCTGTACTGTAGTTAGTGCTTCCTAACCTTCTCAGTCTATCCGCTCAACTCTTAAGTGCAGGTTTATTGCAGTGTGTAGTGTTCCACCTGGATTTTAATGCATTAATAATTATGGTAGAGGAGATGGGACGTCCCGTGGTTTGTGACCAGACAAATACAACCAAACTCACTGCGTTCCTGTACAGCTCAGACAGGGTGGGAACTTGACTTAACTGTGTTCATTTAAAGACAGTCATGCCACAAGAAAGGTAACAGGAGAACTCATCTATGAAGTAGTGTATCCTGTTTTGCTATAGTTTTAGTATCAGTTAGTATCCAGGCGTTATTGGGTTTTTTTTTTGTTTTTTGATAACCCTACTTCTTTCATTTTAATATCAAGATTGATGGTATGAAGTTATGCACGATGTACTTGTATTGCATTGTTTGATCATAGAACATTCTGCTGAAATCAATGAATAGACTTGCCTGGACCAGCATCAGTGTTGTGAGATTGATTACCCGATTGCCAAATGTCTTTCCCAACACTTCACTCCCATTTAACACTGCTACCCATAACCAAATATATATGAAGAGGCTCATCATTCACACTAAAAGTGGTCAACTACTCACAGTAATTTGATTTGAGTATTTTTTTTCTCAAAACACATTAGCTGAACGCAGTGAAACTCAAGTCCAAGGATGTCCTAACTGCGCTTTCCTCCCATTGTTAACTTTCCTCTAATAAAACACAATGTTATTTTTTGCAGCAGTGACTAACTTTCAGAGACTTTTTATCTTACTAAAAGCATACAAACTGCTAATGGCCTATTTTTTGCTTCAATGTTCACTGCAGTAGCACTTAGAGAGGCAGAGTACACAAAGAGGGCCTTGTAGTGTAGTTGTGGCATGTGTACCAATGCAATGAACTGTACTCGCCCTCGTCTAATTGATGGAGCTTAGATCAACAGGACAAATAACACAAAAGGTGAAGCATAGGCCGTTTGACAAACCAAACTCACTGGGGACAGGCAATAACTTGATTTTGGCCATGTTTCCTAATGTACAACTTAACTTATAGCAACACATGGCGTAGCTTGGTGTCTCAGTGTGGAGTTTTCCTTGCATTGCTGTTGTATCTCTGTCGTTATTGTGACAGTGGCACCATATGTCTACAGTTCATTGTTGGGCTGTATTCAGAAGGACAGATAGTGACAGACAGCTTGTCACTGTTTCCAGTCTCCATCCCAGTACTGGATGTAATCAGATTCCCAGGTTAGACAGCCAGGCTAACTCCAACTTCTCAAACTTCTCACACCACATACCACCTAAGAAAATATTTGGCTTTCCGTGTACCACCTGGGCTAAACTAGGTCTAAATAAGATTTAAACTTAGACTACATCACTGTACAGTATTGCCTAAGTATTGTTTAATGGAGTTCCCCGTTTAGTCACAGTTTAATCCTGATTTTGATGTGGATAAACCCTTACTTTTGCAGTTAATATTTGTGGATAGGCCCAGCAATTATAGAGCTACTAACCATAAATTATGTCAAAACATTTCTGCTGCAGATTCTACCTTTCAGTTTTGTTTTACACAATAGACTCTTTGAACTCATCTTTATTCTGATCACACAGTGACATCCATAGATACAGCTCTGGTTCTTTCTAATAAAAAAGTCCCATTATGAAGTTTCCAGTGGGTCTGTTTGTGTCCAGTCACATAACGTCATTCCCTCCAGGTGTTTCCCCTGGTTTTGATGGAAAGTTCATCATTTCCTCTCATGTTTGAACTTCCTGATTCAGACATCACATTTTTATTATTGTTATACTATCCTATACAAATCTCCAATGTAAAAATCTGACCATATTAAACATGCTACACAATCTTGTTGTGGTTGTTTTTCATGTTACAAATCTTATGTGTGTTTTTTTGGGGTTTTTTTAGGACAGTGAATCTTTGGACAATTGCATTCAGAGCACATTATCAGCCCTGTATCGGCCCTTTGCAGCCACTGCCTCCACCGTCCTGTGGCAGCTCTTCAGTGTTGTGGAGAGACAGTACAGAGGGGACGGCCTTCGCTGCTTCATAGACTTTTTGCTTCCAGCCAAAAGGATCTTACAGATAATCCAACAAGAAACCAGCGTGAGTCTCGAATTCCTCACATTTTTACAATGATCTATCTCAGGATTCCTTTAGAGTTACAGCAGGTTTGCCTCAGACTGACCTTGTGCGAATGATTGACAGGAAAAAATTAAACTCAATGTGGACTGACAACAGCAAAGTCAGTTTGTTATACTGTCAGCCAGTTGAACAATATGGATTTTTAGTTTTTTAGGCATAAGTGTTTTTGGTGTTTTTGTAGCCTGGGCTCTTATAGTTTCTAAAAAAAAAAAGGGTAGCAAAATCATAACTGAATCTGGGTTGCTAATACCTTACCTTAACTTGCAAATAGAGGACTTTCTCATGTGAACCTCCAGAATTCACTCACTAAGCTGTAGAAGCTGCACTAGCCCTGATTAATGATTAATGATTGACTGTGAGTGCTGGGGGTTTATATAGTGACAATTCAAATCAGAGAGAGTCCCTTTAGGACCAAGTGATTTTTGGCATTGAAACTGGCAACCCAAATGACTCATGTGAGGCCCATTCATTGCAACCTATATTAGTGTGCAGAATGTAATTGTGTGAAAACTGCTTAGTGGGAAGTGGGAGCATCAGACTGAGACAGACAGCATAATTGTTTAGAAAACAAACTGAATCAGGCATTTGTCCAGGGGTAGCTCGGGTTAAGTTCAAAACCAAAACATGCCCATGCACTCTGCCATTAAGATCAGTTATGCTCTGAGACTGAGTCCTGCATACAGTTAGTTTCAAAATGATGAAAAATTAGGACAGCTGCTGTATCAAAGAGCAAAAATATTGTATCTGTTGAATGGTGAAAAGTCCTCAAAATAACAGAAAACTGAAACCTGTGAATACTGATCACACTATGACCAGGGCCTTGAGCCTCAGTCTCATCTAAGTCTCTCCCTGAGGAGCAGCTCACTACGTCTTTGTGTTGTAGCAATATGAGAGGCTTTGGACAAACTCTCATCCTCTGCTTTTACATTCAGTCAAAATGAAAATGTCACCCCTCCAGCAGTCCTCCTCACTGCTCCTCACTGCTCCTCACTGCTTTCTCTAAAGATTTGTTTGTACTGCATCGAAACTAGGCCTGATCGGGCAAGTTTCAGTCTGACAGTTAAAACAGCACATCTTTCCATTAGAGTTAAATATATGTTTGCACAACCTCCAGATGTCAAATAGATTATGTAAGCACAAGTTATAATAATGTTTTGCCGTGTCTCCTGTGTTACTGTTACTCTGTCCATACTGTATATTTCATATTTATATTGAAACGTGAATTTTCTTCTGGTTGTGATCAAGTACTGATTGACTCTTTTTTTTTTCCTTAGGCCAGATTTAGAGGACTGCTCCTGTATCATGAAGGGTGGCCACTCTGCATTCAAGACAAAGTGGTGGTGCAGCTCTCCCCTCTGCACAAAGTGAGACTGAAGCAAGGCGACTTCTACCTGCAGATCGTCCCTTTAGGCCGAAAGACTGCAAAGCTTGTGATAAAATGTTTGTGTGTGAGTGGACAGGCCCTTGCAGAGATCCCTATTGCAGAGAGCATGTATGGCAGTATCTTCACAGCTGAGTTCCTCCAGAATGTAACACGTGACCGAAATCTTTACCCGCTCCAGAACTGTCTACTGACCACCGGGACTGCCGTGTACAGGACCCCCTGGAAGAACGTGGTCAACCCTTTGTTTGTAAACAGCACAGCGGACGCTATCATGCAGGCGCGCAGTATTGCCCGGGGAGGCTTCAGGGGACATCTGAGCACCTGCAGCACTAGTGGATCTACAGGGACTCTGGACAGCCATCTTAGCTCTAGAGAGTCGCTTCACTCTCAAGGCACGGATTCTATTTTCTCTGAACCAAATTCTCCAAACAGGAATCATAGACAATCATGTGAAAGCAAAGACACCTCTTCGATCGTTAATAATAACACAATACCTGATGGGCACGAAGATGGACGAGACAAAGCGTGCAAAACTCTCTCTTTTAGCACTGATTTGAGTAACCCTGGCCCTCGCAGACGCTTGTCACGGGACTCAGTAGCATTTGAAAGCAGGAGACTGTTCAGGAAGTCTTACATGGAGGCGCTGCAGAATCCAATGGCTCTTGGTTCCAGCTCTGAGTCAATCCTGGAGGAGAGTCCAGACCAGAGCACCAGTCCAACCCACAGGGACAGAGTTGGAATGCCTAGCAACAGTCCGGACCTACGCAGCCCCCGGGAACACTTGCCCAGCAGACAGGGGGGCAGGGGGTGGTTGAGTGGGGAGGACAGGCCAAGTACCCCTCTGTTGTACCTCCAGAGGGGGCTCAAGGGTGGGGATAGGCGCTCCAAATCACTGGAGAGGACTAACAAGACGGGACAGGTCAAAGGTCACAGAGAGAGGTCCTCATCAGGGGGATCTGGCAGCATTTCGCCCAAAAAACTCATGAACGGATATGCACTTCGCTTTGGGAGATTGGACGTAGAGGCGGCATTTCATCGCTCTGACAGAAGAGGCAGCAAAGACGAGCCAGGTTAGTTTTTTGTGACAAATGTTTTACGTTTTGCTATTTATATAGAATTTTGGGTACAGTAAAATTTTAAATGAGAGAGAGCATGTTTTTGAACCTGTAGATCAATTTAATTGAGGAAGAGGATTTCTAACATTTAAGTTTTATTTGAAGTTGTTCGTGCCAGTGTAAAAGTTGTTCTTTCATAATTAAAGTGCATAACACCAAACTGCAATAATAAAAAGTATTTTAGGTGTAATATAACATGTACGTTTAAATGTTTAATGCTGTAAATATCTGAATAATGATAGGATGTAGGCACCACCTGCGGCGACACAAAATGTCATAAAAGTGCTGCCGGTCGTAGCAGGTTCGTGCTAAAGCCCACAGGTTGTGTTTTTTGGCAGGGTGAAATGACACAGATATTGGACATGCCCTTAAATCTGGATTAGTCACAAATGAGTGTTGTCTTTGGTTCTGTCATTTTGTTTTGATTTGAGGTAGAGCTCAGGGAAGTGAGACTACCTCCAGGGAAGGATACTGTTTTTAGAAAACAAAGCTTTTTCCGTCCATTCAAATGACGTTGGATGAATGAAGTTAAATTAGAGGTTATCTTAGTGTTATAGACAGACCTTTCTCTTGGCAATCCTCAAAATCCTCTCTGTCATCACAGATTAGTTTGGGGTAGAAGTCATGTTTATTCATTTACACTGGCTCTATTGTTGTCATTTGTCACAGGGCATTATGACACTAGATTACCATAAACATTTAGACAGAACATTCGCAGGGAACCTTAAGCCAGTAGACTCTTTGTGCGTATTTTCTATCAGAAAAAATGTGAGTGACAAGAGTTACCATAAAACCAATTCATGTGTAAAATAAAACATCAGGTTTAGTCTACAGTTTCTGGACATAAATGACCAAAACTGGCTACTGATTTTACTAGAAACTAATATAAGAAAAAAGTTGACAACTGAAAAATCACTCAATAGACTTGCCAATTTAACCAGCTCAAACATTAATAGTTTTATACTTAACACAACAATATGCATTCTTTTTTCTAAAACCTTATATTCTCAAAGATGGTGTAATCTTTTAGAAAGCTGGAGGTGTCCCACAGTTGAGTAAAAACACACATTGACATACAACACAATGCAGAGGAGGCTGTTGTCTACCTGTGTCACTTCCTCTCAAACAAAGCACTTTAGGAAACGTTGCACTCACAGGCTTGGCCCCACAGTTACACAGGAAACTACTGACTGTGAAAAGACAATAGAAGGGAGCACTGTCGGGCTGATCACTATAACACAAGTGATTGAAAAAGATAAAACCAGAATCAAATAAGAGCCACACCAAACTTTTATAATGTAACTGAAGAAATATAATATTAGCTGTAATTAATGTCTTTGAACCCAGTAGGAAAAGAGTATTTGACTGTATGATGTTAAATCCTTTTCTTATTAAGAAGTAGACAGTATCAATCTCAGACTTCCTTCCTTATTTACTTGGCCATTAAAAGAGAGACTACAGGATGTGATAGTGATGTTTAAAATAGCAACTGTGAACAATAAAACTGCAATACAATGTCTGATAAGTCTTTGCTCTCACCAGTTAAGTCATCTACCATTTCTATATTATGTAAGGGAAAAAATGGTTGGCATTTGCTTTTGTTGAACATTTTTATTTTTCTTTCTTTGAAAACCAGTTATTTAGACTAATTCACTTTTAAATTCTGTAACTAATCAGAATAATATTATAGCACAGTATATAATAGACTTTTTTCTAAAAAAAATGTAAAGTACTTAATGTACTTTAAGATGAAAGGTATATGTAACTTCTAACTAATCCCCTGCTTGATTCAATGAAAATAGAAAATTAAAACCATACTTTGGAACATTCTCATAGCAGATATGTACATTTTATTTACAACATTTCCATAGAAACACAATACACATCTCCCAATGTTGTGATAATGCACAATTTTATGGGGTTTTGCTTTTCTAAAAGATAAAAAGAAAAGATTGAGTTAGAAAAGCCCCAAGGTGTATGTGACTCACCCAGACACCACCTGGCCTCACCCATGACTCAATGTATTGTACCTACACCCAGGCCACCACTAATTAGCACTTGTTTTGATCCCTTGTACTAAAAACAACGTCTTATTTCTATCAATAGCTGTGTAATATGCTTGTATATGCTTGTGTGTCATCTCAACAGCACAACATGAAGGCAATAGTGAAAGCAGAAGGCGCAAGCTCAGTGTGGAGGAGATGATGGGCCCCAAATCTCCATCAAACGGGGCGGTGGTCAGACTGTCCTCCACGTCAGGCGCTACACCTGCCGAAAACATCACTCTGCCCACATCAGCATCAGAGGTCAACCAGGAACTGCTCATGTCCGGGGCTGTCACACTACCAGGTGAATTTACAATACATGTAAAGATAGCTCATATATTTCATTATATGAAAGTCTAAGAAACAGAAATCCCCGAAGCTTCCATATGTTGTAGAAAGGGCCCCAGACACAAAAAAATATATAGATACAAGTTACAGTGTCACACTCTGTGGTGCCCAGCGATATACTGATGGAAACAAGGCTGCCAACTTGTGTCATTGGCCCCTTCAACTACCAGTAACAGTCACGCACCCACCACATTTTTACTGCATACTAAGCATGGTGGGTGAAGTAGCTTTCCTAAGGACACAACTACAGTTTCTACTATAGAGGCTCTGCTGCCCCAATAAAAAAATGTGGTTTCTAACTGGTTTAACTGGTGTAAAATGAAAATTTAAATGGTCAAAAAGTATATTGAAACTACTCAAGTATATGACATGGAATAATGGAAAGAAGACAAAACTACAAATAAAGATTTATATTCAAATATAATGTAAGTAGACACTGAGAATCTACATTTTTGAAGTCTTGAACTTCTAAAGTATTTTGTGACTTGTGTGTAGTTTTTTTGTATTTGATACTGACCCTGTGTTGACCTTGTATGTTCCAGGAAACCAGGACCGAGGGGGGCGGGCCGTGCTGCAGGTGTGCACCAGAGCACAGGTGTGGGGGGCTGAGAGCTGTAGAGCCTCAGACGTCACCTGTCTACTGGGCTACTTCCACTCCACTCTTAGGTATGGCTTTAATATGGAGTTAATATGCGGGAAAGTCCACAAATGAGAGTTGCACATTTTCTTGCAAAAGTTGCATTTTTTCCAATTTCTCCTTGCTATCTGGTTTGTTTAATATATCAATCCACTTTCAAATTAGCATCTAGTTTCAACTGTAGTTTTACTCTGTATTTTTTGAAAGTGCTCTATAACTTTTCTCTTCTTTTCAAACATGTCATTGTCACCACTATCCCTCTGTTTTTAGAAAAGAGAGGCGGGACCAGGGCCTCACCGTTGTGGTAGATGGCAGAAGACAGCAGCCCTGTGCGGCTCTGTTGTCATCTCTGTCTGAATTACAGGTAAGCCACCAGTGGAAAATATATAATTACACTGCATCACGCCCAAGCACTTATATAGACTATACTACTACTTTTGGTTCACAACCTCATTTGGCCTGTGTAACCCCTTTTTAGATGCTTTAGAGTGCCACACATTAACAACAATAGACAAAATATAATATAAATATATTGAACTGATAACATTGAAATGTGTAGCAGAGTTCACTACCTGCTTGTCTCTGCCATGGAGATGTTATATATCTCATTTACAGATATTTTTATTGCTAAAAAGATACTGTAAACCAGCTTACCTCTATTCAAATCTCTTTTATAGCCTGCTTGTCTGCATGGAGATAGATGTGTTTAATATCATATACTGTGAAACATTCCAGGTAAACATCTTCATGTAGACAAGCGGTTAACATACCCTCCATCATAAAAGTTACATAGTACATCTTTAAAAAAGCTAATCAGCTTGTATAAATTTCACCTCTTTAATTTGACACTTCTGCCTGTCTTTGTAAATGCCAGTCATTAAAAATTAATGACTGAAAAACTTATCTGGGAAATTAATTTTAAAATATTTCCAAGTACCCCATGCAAAGTGCTACCAATTAAATCCGTATTGGCGAGTCCCTGTGGTTGGGAAACACTGTTATAATGCATTATTTACATATTTCATCATGCTCTTGTTCTTTACTGACTCCCTCTGAAGACACATTTGAAGAGACACACCTTACATTTGTAGTGACTGTAGATCTGAGACATTTTTGTGAAAAGTCTAGCTTGAGGGTGCTGTGGACGAGCCTGTGCTTACTTGTCTGTTTTTAACCTCACCGCGAGGGCGTGTTGGCTGCAGTTGACTTGTACGAGACGTATCATCATGTCCCACTGATGAGTTGTTCTCTGATGTAAAGAGGATTATTCAGGAGACCACAAAACACATTATAAATGTGCCTCTAATTTAGATTTGGTTTAGCTTTTCAAATGTCTGTCAACATATTTGTGTCATTAGAAGAATATATTGTCATTGTTAAATCCATTGTTTCTTTTGCAGATTTTAATACCAAATGCACTTTATATAGTCCTTTTACTGGTGGATAAAGAGACAGCAGCTAAGCCAGAGAGAGACTTCATTGTTCAGGTAAACACAAAGTTATACTGCAACATTAGACATTTTTGTCATTCCTAGTTTGTAAAGGTCATAGATGTTCAAATGAATGTATTTAGCATTTACTCCATCAGTTTATTAAAAACACACAACTTAAACTGGGATACCATTTGCAGCCACACAAGTTGGTTTTAACCTTACAATTTATCAACCCTCATTCAGCTTTATGCTTGGATAATAATTTTGCTGTATAAATTGGTTTTATCCTTTTGTGTTATCCATTTATCATACTGATTGGATTGATTTACACTGAATCTAATCTCTGTTTTTTCCATTATTGTTTTATGTAAAAGCAATATTTGAACATGTTTACTTCATATGTAGAGACACAGACATTTGTACATATGCTCCAGTTATAATCCTCTGCTATTTTCTCTTTCAGACTGAGGTGCTTTCATCATTGAAGGCCTTGCAAAAGTATATTGACCAAACTCAGCTCACACGAGACCTTGATGGTAGCTTCCCTTACGACCACAACCACTGGATCAACTTCAGACAGGTAAGGCCCATCTAAAGCCCATGTGCCTTGTGTAATGGTGCAGTGGATGTCTACTGATGTTGCCTAATTTAAAAGTAAACTTTTATTTTTCTTATGTTTTTGTTTTGGCAGAAAATTGAACCGTTTGTCAGCAGTTGCAATGCCGCCATATCATCTCTTCAACAGTCTATCAGCATGCTCGGAAACAACAGTAGCCTAAAGACATCCAAGGTTAGTTCTGACCCCTTATTTATGTCTTCACTGACAGACAGTTACTATTCATTGGCCTTCATTGCTTCATGTCTGAGTATGAATAGTGTGTTGAAAGCTACTTGTATGGGCTATTTTACAGTTTAGTAAATTCATAGTCAGTATACACAAAAGGTTGCACTGCATTCATATGATAGCATTCAATGTTAATGTTAATGTCTTTTGGTTTAAAATTGAGATGGGAGATAGGTCAGAGTTTGATGGGTTGAATATGGTGTCAAAATTACTGAATCTATCCACATGAAAAAATAACTGACAAAGTATTTTCTGTCAGCACAAAATAACTCAAAAATTCACATATTTGCCAAAATATTGATTGGATTGGTGGATTTATTTAAAAAGCAATGTAAGTTTTTAGTAAAAACAAACTATCAGTGTCAACATTTAAGTCTTTTAAAATATGTCTCAATTACAGAGTTACATTCAGGCTTCCCACGGTCATGGAAATCCTGGAAAAGTCATGGAAATTGAAAATGTCATTTTCCAGGCCAGGAAAAGTCATGGAATTTTGTAAATTCAATGAAAGTTTTGGAAAAGTCATTGAATTTTAGTCTCTCTTTCACGCAACTACAGCATTCTGCTAAGTTATCATTGGGCTATTATGATTATTTCCGAACAGTTAAAAGAGACGACAGTAAATGAATTGACAGTATTTTGAATGTTAAAAAGCCATGAGGTGAGTGGAAAAGGTTAACATTTCATATTTAGCCCTAAAATTATGCTCAATTCTACACATGTAGATGCTGTAAATCATGGAAAATTCCCCTTAGGTCATGAAAAAGTGATGGAAAAGTTTTAAATTTTGTCAGTGAAAAAGAGTATATACATTAGTCTCTTCTTGTGTGTGATTTGGTATAGATACAATATATTTGTCTTCTGTTGTGAGATTTGATGGAGATGATGCTGTTGTGTTGTAGGAGGTGTCTGACGTGATGGAGAGACAGAAACAGTTGATGAAGTGTGTTTTAGATGACACAAGTTTGAACAGGCTGCGTCTCGAGGGGGGCACTGTCCTCGCACGCATCAAGAAGGAAGAAGTTTGTGACAATGAAAACTACAGGTACAGCACCATAAATATGTAATATGTGTAATATGTGATGATTTTAATTTTACTACTGTAATTGATATTTAAACTAATATCGAAACTAGATACTCATTTGAACTAGTATCATAAAAAATTACAAAATTTAACATTTCCTGAACCGTTTTCGAATATTTTTCAATGTATATTCCTTACTTTATCATCTGTGTCTAGTATCAAGCCTATTTTTTAGCACTGAAATTAAGGTTGACATTTTAGAATCATTAGTAATCTGTACTAACAATTGTTTTTGTCATTAGGGAAACAATTGAGATGCTGAACACTCTGTACAACCGAGTAGATGAAGAGGTCCATAAACTTGTGATTCTGTCGAACAAGGCTCAGAAGCAGCTGGAGAGTGTGCTGGAGGTGTGCAAGTTTGAGGAGCAGACAAACCAGGTATTATGTTGTCATTTCTGTTCTTTAAAATTAAAATTGAACTAATAATACTTTAAAGATCACGTGTATTGATTTGACTGATATACTTTGTTTTTCAGATTAAAATGTGGTTTAGTGTAGAAGGAGAGAAGAACCTCACATCTTTAGACTCACAAACTTTGAGTCTGAGTAAAATCAAAGAGATGAAAGAAGCTCTAGAGCGCTTTGCAGAGGAGTCCGTGGTAAGGCCTGTACATGAATATAGGATTGAGCAATTTTATCCCTTTAAAAATAAATAAAATTGCTTACAATATTAATTTCCTGAACATGAGCAAGACACACTTTTAACAATTGTCATTTAAAACAAAAAAAAGTATAATTTCTTCTTCTAAAGTCTGAAATTTGGTCAAAACTAACAGCGGATTGACTGTGAACCTCTCAACTAAAAAGTCCCAAACATATTATTGGCAATTAGAAATTACTGACTCTTGACTAAAATTGTATTAACTGCATGAATATTCTGATATTATTACTGCCCTTAATAGTGCACTTTGCTTTACACTTACCATAATATATGTACTTCAGCACCAACAGAGGCTCGGACTGCAGCTCGTGAAGGAAGCTCCAGATTTACTTCCTGGTTCAGTTCTTATCGACTTTAAGCAGCATCTGGGCTCCATCTTAAACCGAGTGGAGAGAAGGAAAAACCAGCTGGACATACTCACCAACCTCTATGAGTTTTATGACTCGGTAAGTTCATTTTAGATAGAAAAATACATATAATTATTTTAATCTTTGATAGTTGTTTCATAATTTGTATTTCAATTATGGCTAACACTTTAGTTTAGGAATGACATATTAATAGCTAGTTAATAGTAAATTGCATAAAGTAAAGTGCTTAATTACATCTTTGTTAGTATTTATAAAGTACTTTAAATGCATTTTTGTCTCAGGCCGTGTTTTGCGAGTACTAACCCATTAACTGTTTTCTTCCTATTAAACTAGTGGCGATCACAATACATGTTTTTGTGCATACACTGAAATCTTAATAAGCATTAATAAGTGTTTGATTAATACCAACTAATAGCTAAGTAACAGCTAATTAGCATGCCAATTACCCCTTAGTTAGCTCTTAATATTTGGTCCCTACACTAAAGTGTTACCGAATTATGTTATATTAATTTTTCCTTGTTAATTAGACTTTCCTGTCCTTTTCCTATATTGTTTTATAAGAGCCGAGAGATTAGTAGTGGAACAGTAGTAGAATAAAAAACATTTAAACAAATATTCAAGATCAATAAGTATTGAAAATAAGCCTTCAAACTAGATGTTTAAGTAGAATACAAAACATTAATTTGAATAAAATTAAGATACTATTTCTAAAGAGATTAGGAGAGTAAAATACAAGGTCAAAAACCTGTTATGTACAATGAGGTACTATTACAAGCATTTTCCCCTTACCATCTAAATTGTGTATTGAGCTGCCATGGCAACTGAATTTCTCCACTATCAATAAAGTTCTGTCCTATCTTATGTCTTATATTTTTCATATATTTTAGGCCAGTCAGTGGATGGATCATTGCCAGGACTACTTCAATCAACTGAACCTGGCCAGTGGGAATATTTCAGTTTCTCCCTGTGTGCTCCAGACTCTGCAGGATTATTACAATGAAGCGTCCAAATTTTCCTCTGACAACTTCAGCACTCTCAACCACATGGTCCTGTCTTTGGAGAGCCCCCAGCAGGTGCAGAAGTGGAACTGCATTTGGCACAAATGTCAGATGACCAAACAACAACTAGAAGAAACACTATCGCGAGTTACAGCCTCTTCGGACTCCTCGGTTATGGATTCTTCTGATTTTATCACCACCGACCAGCACAAAACTAAGGGACTTTTAGTGTTACCTCCTCCTTTGCCTTTTGAGGACAAACCACATTCAGCAGGACCCTTCTCTTGCCCCTCTAGCTCAGTTTCAACAAGTTTTAATTTCCCCAGTAGTGAAAGAAAACTTAGTACATCCATGTTTGAGGACACGGACAGCGACTGCACGTTTGATTCAATTTCCTGCCATTCCGAACCAGTTTACTCAGCTAAGTCCCGCCCACACAAGCCAATGAAGAAGATTATGAAGAAGACATTGAGTTATGAGCTGACTCCCAGAGACAATGGTCATTCAGATGCTAGTCATGTTCATGGATATACAGGGGTGTACATTAAGGGACTGGAGGTGGCCAATAATGTTTCAGCGGAGAAGAAGCTGCAGAGACCTGATGTGACGAGCCCCGCGTTGGGGCGCAGTCGGAGCATGTCCACTCCCTCCAGATTGCACAGCGCAGAGGGAGATGCCAAGAAACAGAGCGGGTAAGAAGAAGTTGAAGAGTTTTAATTTTTATTATCTAGTCTGACAGATAATAAAAATGATCTTTTGAAATGTTTGTACCCCAAAATTTCAACCACAAAATAAGAATAGTTCTTCATTATTACAATTTCATATACTAGTTTTAATTTAGGTCAAGATCATTCTTAAACTATTCAGAAAATCAACTTTCCAACTTTGTCCCATTTATGTGATTTTTTTGTCCTTCAGTTTTTTCATTATTGGTAGTAGTTCAAGTGAGTATTTAGTTTTGATTCTGGTTTGTATCAGTTAGTATTTTCGTTTTCTTTTACAGTTTTAAACCATGCAAACTTTTGGAAGTGGAAATTGCATGCGGTATTGCAATTTTAGAAAGCAAGAAATGTGTGGGGTCAGAGGTGTTTTTGATAACTCTTTGCTGAATGTGTTTTGATGTGATGGAAGCAGAGATGGGAGACGTCATCCGGACATCCCCCCAAAATATAGAGATATTCATATTTGCCAATATTGCCCACTCTTAGATGAAAATGGTTTACCAGTAACTTTAGATATGTGACTGTTATGTATACTAATAAACTCTGTCTTTATCTTTCACAGTAAAGTGCAGCACATAATGGACGAGATGATCTCCACAGAGCGGGAGTATGTGCGCTCCCTCAGCTACATCATTGAGCACTATTTTCCGGAAATGGAACGCATCGATCTGCCTCAGGACCTCAGAGGGAAACGCTCCATCATCTTTGGGAACGTGGAGAAACTCTGGGACTTCCACAGCCAGTACTTCCTGAAGGAGCTTGAGTCCTGCGCTCACTCGCCTCTCTCTATCAGCAGCTGTTTTCTCAGACATGTGAGTTAAACAAATTAATAATGATAATGCACTTTACAAGTTTGACAAGTCCCTCAAAGTACTACTCTGAAGTAATTATTCACTTCACTTGACACTTGACACTTCACATTCATTTTGCTATTATGGTCCCTCTTACCTCCACCGATCACATAGACTCCACATTCATCCATCATCATGTGTATACATACATTATACATTATACATTGGTCGAAGCTTTAATCAACTGCCAGCTGTTGATGGTTAAATAGTCTAACCACTGAGGCGGTGTTGTCCCATTACTTGTACTCAGCAGCAATCCTTTGGGAACTAATACTGTTCTCAGGTGTTTAGTCAGCACTGTGACAGCACATACATCTATGTCTGTGTTACTATAGAGATGTGAAGTGTTTGTAAACTGCTCTGAAATGTCAGCAGATTTATTTTTGCTGTTGTCAGTGTTGTAACATGTGATTCTTTTGTTATTCTTGCGTGTGCAGGAGGATCAGTTCGGTATGTATGCACTGTACAGCAAGAACAAGCCTCAGTCCGACGCCTTACTCTGCAGTCATGGCAACGAGTTCTTTAAGGTGCGTCTGGAACATTCCTGTAGTGCAATGTGTCTCTGGCATCCACTGTTTACAAATGGAATATAACAGAAGATGTATAATATTCCAATGTATAGGCTGTGTTCACACTAGGTACATGTACATGGTCTCATGGTCAGTAAAAATCACAGTAGAAGAATGAGATAACCAAATAACAACATCTGATTTTTAGTGTGCGTTTACATGCACAAAATAAATCTGATAATCAAAAAGACCTGGTGACGTGTGGCAGTTAATCACTGGATTTTTAGTGAAACTGCTGTAATTGTAAAATGAAGTGCAATGAATTAAAAATTTTCTGTTTCATTTTTGTCCTTGCCACATTAGTTAATTCTCACATTTTACAATAGTATATGCAGTTCATGTACACATAGCTGCTGATGTAGACTTGGTCTGGCCAGATTTAGTCCTGGTCTGGTCCAGATTTGATTCCAGGTTTAGTCCCAGTCTCCATTTATGTTCTCAAGTATGACCACAGCCAAATTGAAAATATATTTTGCCCAATCTACAGTAAAAGTCAGACAGTATAAAGACAGCTATCAAACTAACTGAACCACTCACTTACTATTACAAAATACAAAAACAATTCATTACAATAGCGCTTGAGATTGAATGTCAAAATGTTATTTGCAAAATTTGCCAACATTCCATAGAGATGCATTGACAAAAGCAATAAAAAAGTGTACAAAAGAGCTGTGTAACTGATTAATAAGCAGCTGTGTCACTACAAACACCCAATATCTATTACAAGAAACACTTGCGTTCAATACTGTTTATGTTTTTCAACAGAACAAACAGATGGAGCTGGGGGATAAGATGGACTTGGCATCATATTTGCTGAAGCCTATCCAGAGAATGAGTAAATATGCACTCTTACTGAAGGACTTGATAAAGGAGTGCAGCCAGTCCCAGGAGCAGGAACTGAGCGACCTCCGAACTGCAGAGGAGATGGTCAAGTTTCAGCTTCGCCATGGCAACGACCTCTTGGCAATGGACGCTATCAGAGGCTGTGACGTAAGCGCAAACACAAGCTGCACTGTCACTGTCAGTCAGTTAACACAATTTCAAAACTAAAGAAAAAGCTCATTACTCAAAACCAATTTTAAAAGCAAAATAAAAGACACCCTGCTACACATAATGTAAGGTACTGCATGTAGTAATCTTGTATCCTCTTTTATTTCATATTTATAATTTTATACTGTATGTATGTACATTTTCAATGGTTCTTTAATTTCAGACCATTTAAAGTATCAGTACGCTTATTAAGTTTAGATACTACCAGTAGTTTTAGCATCAATTAGCATTAAGTTTATTGAATAGCCCTTGTATCGTGTCAGGTCACAGCCAGCTGCTTCGCATGATTAGTACCACATGGTGTTGAATGGGACATTTTGCACAATGTTGTCTAAATAGTGGTATGTATTCAGTTCTATGACATTTTATTTCCTTTTAGGTCAACTTGAAGGAGCAGGGTCAGCTGCGCTGTCAGGACGAGTTCATCGTGTGGTGTGGACGCAGGAAATACCTCCGGCATGTCTTCCTGTTTGAAGACCTCATTCTTTTCAGCAAGACCAAAAAGATCGAAGGAGGATATGACATCTACATCTACAAACAGTCCTATAAGGTCTGTGTCTGTACTACTCATCCAAATGACAGGGGCTATTTTAAGAATTAAACCATATGTAGATTATGATTTTACTTTTTGTTCAAGTAAACCACAACATTGATCCAAAACAGCTTAATAAGAGAAACAGATCCATCCCTGTTGTTGTGACATTTTTGTAACATGTTTTTATATTTCAGACAGCAGAAATAGGCATGACAGAGAATGTAGGTGACAGTGGGCTGCGTTTTGAGATCTGGTTCAGACGGAGGAAGTCACAGGACACATTCATACTTCAGGCCAGTTCTGCGGAGGTCAAAGCTGTGTGGACTGCCATCATTGGCAAGATTCTGTGGAGACAAGCCCTGAGGAACAGAGGTATGGGCTGGTATGGGAATATAAAATGCACAATTTAATTGTAATGCAACAATAAATGAGAGAACTAAGCTTAAGGATTTTTTGTAAGGTGCTTGCTTGAGTACGGACATGCACTGCTTATCAGCTGACAAATTTTTAGAGCTATTTACTTATTTATTTGATCTTGCTGAATGTATAAAATTTGCTGATGATTGTGGAAGCAGTTGACAATCTTAAATTTCCTTCTGGATTAATACAGTACAGTTCTCATACTGGAAAAATACTAAAGTACTTGTTAACGCAGCTATTAAAACAAAGTTGCTATCAGCATTTACAAGAAATAATATATAACATGGAAGTGAAAACATATAACATACATAACAGAATATATCTGAAAATGCTATGTACACTTTTACACATTTGTGGTTGTGATTTATTGTATATTATGACTCGAAGTTTATATTCTGTTTCTAACATTTAAACATTTTTGGATGTCAGAGTTGCGCATGCAGGAGATGGTTTCCATGGGAATTGGAAGCAAGCCTTTTATGGACATCAAGCCGAGCGACGCAGCTATCAGCGACAGAGCCATTGACTACATCATGAAAGGGTCAGGTCAGTCATGTTTGGGTTTCAACTATTTAGTTATTATTAAATGATTTGTGTACAACCTTCTAATTTATAAAATGTTTTTAAAATAGAGTCCAGAACGCGAGCCTCCATAGCAGTGCCTTTATTTGAGTACTCCTCCTCAGTGAAGCGACCTCATTCAACCATCTCCAACAGCAGCACCTCTTCCTCAAGTAGCCACTCCTCCTCTTCTCTTTTGGGGTCTCTAAACCTGCACATGTACACATCCCCCTCCCACCCACACCCCCACCCCATGTCCTGTGTCTCCCCATTCGGACAGTGGCCCTACGACTGCATAGAGGAAGATGAACTGGAGCAGGACACTGGCAGCCAGCCCTCCATGAGTAAGTCGTGACAATAATGTTATCAGTTTATGCCCTTAAAAGTTACTTTCTCAACTCTCATATTTAACATATTTATATTGGATTATGAAGCAATTTTGTACAATTTGTTTAGCTTGTATGCACTGCTCTTAAACTTCCACTAGAGGGCAGCGTTGATAACTAGTGAAGAGATCTCCCAACTCCAACTATTTTTCTGTATACACATTGAACAACTGCAGTTTGTAGCTAAGGTAGAACCAAAACAAATTGGTTGGTGTTCAAAAGGAAAGAAGATATTGGAGATGCTTGCACTACTTACAGAGAAAAGAAACCACAAACTAGGTCAGACATCTGCATCTAAAAGTTAAAGGGAACATTCTACCACACAAATCTGGCCTATCCTCAACCTTATAAAAAACTTAAAATAAGAGCAGTTTAGATCCCTATCATGCCACTTGAACATTCACATCAATCACGCACATGTTGTATTCTTGTAGGTTGTTGTTGCATATTTCTTTTCTTTTAATTTCAGTCATGGAGAGCTCAGAGACGTCCTCCCAGTGCACGTCCAGTGACAGTGCCTCTGGTCTGAGTACACTGACTCTACCGGGAGCCCCCAGCCTGGCCCTAGACTCCTTCAATAACAACACCAGTGAATCAACCTCATTCCTCTGCCCCTCCACCCCTCCCTCCTCCGTCAGCACTCCCTCCATTTTTGAGAAAGACGAGGATCTACAACCCCCGGGCACTAGCTTCATCACAGCAGTAAGTATATGAATGAAATCAGCCACTGTCAGAACCTTTCAGTTTGTAATATATTGATGGATTTCAGATGGTGTCACATTGTCATTGGAGTGCATAATGAATACTATTAATATATACAGTGATTTTATAGTGAAGAACAAATCAAACACAATTTTTTTTTTTTTTTTTTAATTCAAGGCTTTTTTTAAACTTAATCAGCTTATTATTATTTTCCCATGGAGTAGTTTAGGCACTGGATGTTATTTGATGATCAATTTACAATTTTAAATGTATTTGCATGGATTTTTGATTATCAGATTATCAATTATCAGATTCACATATAAAGTACATTTATGGCATAAACACTGAAAAACACGTACTTATTAATATTTCTCGATGGCTGTTATTCACACATTTTATTGACTTGCAAATAGTATATGTGTTTGTAAAGGTTACACAAAGCACATAAAACACGAGCAAATGACAGAATGGGGGTGATAAAGGAGGAACATAAGGTAATAGTTAAGGTCAAAATGATATTGATAAAGAATAGGTCAAACTGATAGAACTTGAACATGAAATGAGTTATATTTCTAGTCCACATACATGCATTATATCGTGAGAGTAGTTGGTTAGCTCACTATCTGTCTGCTGTTGTGTTTTTACCAGAGCAAAGCGGCTCAAATAGCACTGAGCCTCTCTACAATGGTCTGACACTTTTAGCTCAGTAAGTAACCCCTGTCCCCGCGTTGGACATGTCCGCTGGCCTGAATACTAATCTGTGTGGAAATGCTCTCTTGTGCTTGTTTTCTGGCTGCTCATCTAGTAGGGCTGAAAGTGTAAATGAAATTTACTTTTTATCACAATTTCATTTGTTGTAATTGGCAATTTGCAAAGGCTGTTTTATTGTAACATATTATCATTTCCAGAAACCTATATATTCTGTCTCCACAGGTAAAACCTGTAAACCCTGTAGTTTAGGTCCTGACAAATATGGTCTCAAATATATGTATTTAGTTTAACAGCTATTTTAGTATTCTCTTCAGTAAGTGTTTATGGGACCAGACACTTTAAAATGTGTCTTTTCAGAATATTACACAAACACTACACACTCTTATTAAAATTATATTTTTCCAAAATTGTTCAGCCCTAATGACTACATTTACTTTTGGTTTGTGGGCTTCTGGTTTGGGGGATTTTCTTCTGTACATTCTTCTATGCATCTGTTTGAAAAGAGCATTCATTTTGCCAATGTTGTCAGCATGTGTGATTGACCTACATTTGTGCATGTTTGATATTCTGTGAATGCATTTTGTAATTTAAGTAATGTGTAAGTAAGTGTTTATTGTTTCACAGTACTTGAGAAAAAAACATTCAGTAATATTTTGAAAGTAATACAAATGGTGGTATTTTCCTGTGAAAATGGCAAAATCTTATTATTAATATTTTTGTATATATTTCTTCCTGTTTGCTGTTTAGATCCAGTGATATTACAAACTACATATTTATGTTTCTTAAAATAATGTAATTTCTTTAGAGTCATTATTATATTTAGGCAGATTTCTATTATGTAAACCATTATACTCATTGATTTCAACCAGCACATGACCAACTGGCTGTGCTGCCTCTGTATTTTATTATGAAACATCAGATTTTATTGCTTTTAAAACCATGTAAATTCTTTGTCTTTCTCTCATTGCAGCTGTGAAGTCCCTGTGGTCAAAGTCCATTGGTGGAGTGACGTCAGTGTGAAAAGTCTCAAAAATGTTTTTTAGATTTTCAGTTTTGACACTGGTGATGTTACTTTTGGTACTTCAGTAATTTGTACATTTACTTCCCACACTTCATTTGTTTATAATGTAGATGAGTTTTATGTATTTTACACAGCAATAGCACACATTGTTGACTGCCCATGTTTAAAGTTAAAGTATGTTGTTATAACTTTGTACAGAAAATTAAATTGACTTTAAATACTTATTGACTTGCTTCTTTTTCAAAATGATATTTACACATGAATACAAATTACTTATCTTGTGCAGACTAGTTTAACTTAATTTAGTATAATTTATTCAAATTGTTTTAGATAGGTGATGATTGATTCACATGCATTTTTTTAATTTCTACTGTAAGATTTTTAAATACCTCATGTATATTTACTGTAACTATGCATGTTAGCAGCTTTATTTAAAGACATTGAACTTAAGTCCAAATAGCAAAAAAGGTAAATATTTTGCATTCAAATCATTTTAACAACAGAATTGTATGTTTAGCAGTGAACAACAGTTGTATCAAAAGAATATAAAAAGCACTGTGCATGTTAAGCAGGATGGACAGATATTTTGACATGATACAGAGCTACCAGGTAGACACCGAAGTCTGAAACCACAAACTCACACCAGTCAACATACCTCGCTGTTTGAGATGAGCACAGGGGCCTAGTGGTTTTACCTTCACATTAGAGGAACTGACATTTCTTACCACATGCTTTTTGCTCTGAGACAAAAACCACATAGGCTAACTCTTAATGTAGGCAATAGAGACAACTGAAGCATAACAAGATACAATACATACAAAATATATGAACAATAACACATGGCTGTTTTCATGCACACCAAAATCTGATTCGGTTACTTAATCTGATGGGAGTTCTTGAAAGATTACCTGATTTTCACTGGCCATGTATATGTACTCCGAATATATTCCACTGCACTTCTAATACTAGTACCTTGTGGTATTACAGCAACCAGTATTTTTGTAGGAAATGTAAGAACCCAGTTAGAATTATCCGCCACAGGAAATGGCTTGCTCTCTGTTTTAATTTTCACTCCTGTAACTTTTGAACACACAGTTCATACACCAACAACGGCTGGTTAATGCAGGGAAAAGAACAGAGACACCTTATGTACAAGAAGATTCTAACAAGATATACGGTCAGTTTAACACATTCATGGTGTTGACAAACCAGACACACAGGGTGACTGAGAGGCAAGACTCGAGCCCCAAGATGCACAGTCCGAGAAAAATCATGTTAAATACCATGAAATATTGGTCATCTGGTTTCCACATAGTCAAGTCTGCAATGATCAAAGATGCTGCAACAACAGCAACTAACAGGCAGCCACAGTTGACCTTAAGGGAAATCTTTAAAAAAATAAAATAAAAAAATTATACAAAATACCACACATGTCAGGTTTTGGTAATTTTATAGGCATTACGTACCAGAAGTAACTCAGGGTATTTGAAATACATATTTGAAATAAGTCCAGCAATTATGAACTGAAAAAGACAGTGTAGCTTTTAGACATAATTTCTTATAGGTGAAACTGAGGCATATTATTAAAAGATAACATTTACATACAAGAATTCCAGTCATCTGAAAAACTCTGAACAGAGAGAAGAGTGAATAGCCAATGTCCTGTGTCAGCATGAAGTAGATTCCTAATCCAAGGAGTGGAAGACCATTCAGCACCTGCACAATCTGAACCAAAATACACAACAAGCTTTAAAATGTTTACACTATACCTTTGTTTATACAGTACCTATTGGAAAGAAAAAAAAATTGACCAGTCGTTGCACATATTTCTATTTTTTCATAATAATTTTGATGTATACAGTCCAGTTCTTACTCCAATGATGGCCGGTTGTTTTCGGAGCAGGTCGTAGAGTGGATCCTTGGTGTTTGGTAAGAGCTCGGTGGCCTGGTATTGTCCGGTGATCTCTGCCTCCCTCCTCCTCACCCCGCTCAGCGGCAGCTCCTCCAGCACTTCAATGCTCAGATCCACATCAGCACGGGCCATGGTGAAGGTCTGAAGGACACATCAGAGAAAATATTTATGGATTTAAATTCACATTCAGGGATCATAGGGTAAAAAAATATAATAGAAAATGTGGGAAAAAAATTGCATAAACTAATACACACGTTAGATCATTACTAAAGGCTCACAAGCTCAAAATGTTTTGTTCTTGATGCTATGAAGAAGTAGTTTTCAAGTTAACAGCTACCTTTTAATTTTTGTTTAGCAGTGTTTGTCAATTCCAAGACTGGACTTTCTACTGAGGGTGTATGGAGTTTTAAAAACACAGTGGAGTGGAGTAATATGGGCCCTTGTCGTCCTGCGAGGTGACTGCTATTGTGATTATGGGCTGTACAAAAATAAATAGAATTGAATTAATAGTGGTAAACTAGCTAACCATGGGTTGCAGAATGAAAGATTGTGATAAAAGATAGTGAAAATTTTAAATTAAATATTTTTCGAAAGAAATAGAAAGTCCTCAGAATGTTCCATATAACAGAAGATAAATAATTTACAGGTTAATTTCTTGACACTCATGAACATAAATGTATTATGTATATGTGGACCCCAGGAAGAGTAGCTGGTGTCACGGACATTAGTTAATGGGGATCCAAATCAAATCAAATCAAATATCTAACATGAAAATAAAACATACAGTATTTACAACAATTAGTCAACATTAAGGTATCTTTTATTGAAATTCTTTTTATGGAGTTTTCTAATATTCAGAAAATGTAAAAGATATTTAAATCATAATATCATATCATACAATAAAAGCTTTGTTATCTTACCTGAGCTTTGTGTAATTTCGTCTGCCTCAGTCCTGAGAAAACACAGCTCTTCCCTGGTGCTGACACATACCCTTACTTCCTCTTTAATTCTGGTCATGACCATATTCATCCATCCCTCATATCTTATTACTACAAATTATGATTCATTTTGTATTCATCTTTCTATAACACATTCCCCAATACATAAATAAACACTTAATTTTACCTTAATGCATGTTATGTTCTGTTCTCAAAGTATATCCTGCCAACACGCCATGCTGTTTCATAAGAGCACAAGGGCCCAGTGGTTTTACATTCACAATATGAGGAACACACATTTCACAACAGATGCTTTATGTTCTCAGACAAAAATTTAACTCAACTTTATTGAGCACTTTAAAAACAACACTGTCAACCAAAGCGCTGTACACAAATTAAATAGGACACATGACAAACAGTGACAAGTAAATACTGAATCCTCAAACTGAGTTAAAAGCCAAGGAGAAAAAGTGAGTCTTTAGAAGGGACATAAAAGCAGGCGGTGAGTCGGGCGGGATGATGTGCAGAGGGAGCTGATTCCACGGCCTTGGAGCAGCCAATGCAAATGCATACCTGCAGACCTGTGTGCAGGTCTGCAGGTATGCAGAGGGGGTGTGAGGTACAGACAGGGGGACAGGGGAGCCAGTGAAGAGACTGAAGAATGGGGATATGCAGGAGAGTGAGGTTTTGCTGAGTCCAGTGTAAAAGTGAATTGTAATAATCTAAGCAGGAAGTAAGAAGTAATAAAAACATGGATTAAATTTCAAGGTTGTAATGAGATCAAATTGATTGCACTTTGACAAGTTACCTCAACTGAATAAAGTTGGACTTCACCACATTTAATTTGGGCATCACTTTTAAAACCACAGTCGATTTTCACACCTAAATTTGCCATTACAGGGCTCATGGCCTGAGATAAGGAGCTCAACTCTGTGGTAGCAACCACAGTGAAGTCACTAGGGGAGAGTAACCCCCATCTTTTCTCATTGGAGTACAGGAAGTTAGAAGCCATCCATGCTTTGACTTCATCCAAGCAATGAACAAGAGAATTAGACGACACAGTCAGCGACACACACAACTGGCAGTCATCTGCATAAAAATTAAATGACACCTTGTGTTTTTGGAGAATTGACCTGAGAGGCTATAGATAAAGTGAAAAAAAATTAGAGGCCTGAAACTGACCCTTGGGGCACTCCGCGCGATACAGGGGCCAGGGAGGACGCCGCATCACCAACTTGTATGGCAAGACACATAGGCTAATTCTTAATGCAGGCAACAGAGCAGAGAAAAAAACGATGCACAACAAGATGTTAACAAAATATATGACTAATACCATATTCAACACGTTTTCATATATTTAGCATATGAGAATGGCTGCTTACATGCACAGCAAACATCAGAGTAAACAGTAAACAGTTTAATCTGATGGGAGTAATCAGAGTTCATCCTGATAGTTCACACCTTTGCAGGTTTTGACAGTTAAAATTGTGCAAAATGGACAAACAAAAAATTTAATGAAATGAAATGAAAGACATTTTTAACAATTGAAATAGATTATCTGATTTTCACTGCCCATGTATATGTACCCAGAATAAATTCCACTGCACTTACTAATACTAATACTAGTACTTTGTGGTATTAGAATTATCCACCTCAAGAAAATGACAATTTCTTTCTCTCTGTTTGAATTTTCAATTCACAGTTCTTACATCAACGACAGCTAGATAATGCAGGCAAAAGAGCACAAACATCTTATGCACAAGAATATTATAACAAGACATACAATCAGTTTAACAAATTCAGGGTGTAAATTTTCGCTTTTCTTTGACAAACCAAACACACAGGATGGCTGAGAGGCAAGACTCAAGCGCCAAAATGCACAGCCCGAGAAGCTCCATCTGGTAAAATGCAAATATATTTTGTTGACAAATGTTTTATTTGATTTTGAGTATAATTATTATTATTCTGTACCCTTAAATATTCATCATCTGGTTTCCACGCAGTTAAGTCTGCAATGATCAAAGATGCTGCAACAACAGAGACTAACAGGCAGCCACAGTTGACCGTAAGGGAAATCTTAAAAAAAATAAATAAAAAAAAAGATGTAAGACCTGTTAAGTTTTGGCAGTTTTATAGGTATTACTTACCAGAAGTAACTCAGCGTATTTGAACAACATATTTGAAATAAGTCCAGCAATTATGAACTGAAAAAGACAGAAAAAGAGAGATATAATTTCTTTTAGGTGAAACTGAGATAGATTATTATTATTATTAAGAGATAACATTTACATACAAGAATTCCAGTCATCTGAGAAACTCTGAACAGAGAGAAGAGTGAATAGCCGATGTCCTGTGTCACCATGAAGAGGATTCCTATTCCAACACTCAGAAGACCACTTATCACCTGCAAAGACTGAACCAAAAAACACAGCAAACTTTAAAATGTTTACAATATACCTTTGTGTATACAGTAATTATCGCACAGAGATAGAAATGTGAGGATTCAAATGAAGAATGAATACCAAGGACTACTCTAACTTGTGCACTAAAACTTTCTGGTGCTTTCAGTATAAAGTAGCATACTTGGGAAAATTCTCCATTGGGTTAGATAAGTTTTATGCCATACAGTGGAATATAAAGGAACAATATTCCCATGGAGACAAGTGGGAGAAGACCCTCCTCCAGGTCAAATAAGAGTCAGTTTCGTGGAAATGCAAGCCCGTTCACAGTAAGAACACATGTTTGCATGTTTTTGTTTTAGTCTATTTTTATAGCCAAAAAGTTACACAGTATGTTTTGCAAAATATTTTTTTCATTATAATTTTGATGTATACAGTCCAGTTCTTACTCCAAGGACAGCCGGTTGTTTTCGGAGCAGGTCGTGGAGTGGAGCCTTGGTGTTTGGTAAGAGCTCGGTGGCCTGGTATTGTCGGGTGACCTCTGTCTCCCTCCTCCTCACCCCCCTCAGCGGCAACTCCTCCATCGCTTCAATGCTCAGATCCACATCAGCACGGGCCATGGTGATGGTCTGAAGGACACATCAGAGAAAATATTGATGGATTTAAATTCACACTCAGGGATCATAGGGTAGAAAAAATAATAGAAAATGTGGGAAAAAACAGTCCAAATAGCATAAAACTGCCCACTGTTATATGTTATATAACACTGTTATAATACTGTTATCATTTTGTTACCTGCAGTAATTTAATAAGATATTATACCATGAGAATGACATGGTTAATTTAATATAATTTAAATATTGTTATAATAACTGTTTGATTTTCAAACTTTCTGTTGGTTATATCAAGAACTTTGTTAAGTCCTGCGAGGCGACAGCTTTTGTGATTATGGGCTATACAAAAATAAACTGAACTGAATTAATCTGTCTATCCATGGATTACAGAATAGATACAAAATTAGGACCGTTGCTGTTGCCATAATGATTAAGAAATTGAAATAAAATATTTTATTTTTGGAAAAGAAAATAGGAAAAGTGGTCCTTAAAGTCCTTAAAATTATCCATATAATAGAAGCTGAAACTCTTGAATGACATTGGAGCAGAAGACAAATAATTTACTGGTTCATTTCTCTCTACTTATGAACATAAATGTATTATGTAACATGGGAATAAAATGTACTGTACAACATTTGCAATTCAACATTGTACCATTCAATTAACTTTTACTGAAATTCTCTGTAAAATGGTTTGTCACAGATTTTGATATACTGAAAACTTTGGCATTTCATTCACACATTTCTTCTTATTGCTGAAGTTTTCTAATATTCAGAAAACTATCTTACAAAAGAAAAAGGCATTTAAATCATAATAGCATATCATACTATAAAAACTAAATTGTCTTACCTCAGCTGTATTTCTGTGTAATTTGGTCTGCCTCAGTCTCTAGAAAACGCAGCTCTTCCCTGGTACTGTCAGACATGTCACACCTTTACTTCCTCTTTGACAGTGGTCATGACCATATTTATCTGTCCCTCATATCTTATTATTACAAATCTTTTTTTTTTGTATGAATCTTTCTATAACACATTCCCCAACACATAAATAGTCACTTAATTTTAACTTATTGCATGTTATGTTCGGTTCTCCTGTATAGTATATCCTGCCAATGGGGACATTTTAAAGTTTTTGCACTGCCTTGAGTGAAGAGAGAGAGAGAGAGACTAAAGTGCAGGCAAGCTACTGTGGCCGGTCACTTCCTTCATGACCTCATTTGTCAGAAAACTATTATTCACATAAGACAGATGCTTCACAACATTTTCTCACCATGAAGAAGAAAACCTTTGTGTGCGATGAATCAATGGTTATTACTATACCCATTGGAAATCTCAGAAATGCTAGAGATGGACAGCTTATGCCGGAGAAGTTCTACTGTGTTTTCAAAGATTCCTACAAGGTCTTTGCCAGAAAAGGAAAACCTAAACCTCTTGGAGTAGGTCCTCTTTTTTATCACTTTTTTAAAAAATCTGTTTCTATTTTAAATATGTATAATCTCTATTAACAACTTCGTGCATTGTATTTAAAGGCAGCTCAAGCCATCACAGGTGTTTTTCTTCTGACTTTGGGTTTGGCTTTCAGCAAAGATTCGGAGACTCTGATCTTCACCATACCAAGTGTTGTGGTAAATTTAATTCCTCCTTCATGTATAATAGAATGGAATGTCTAATACAAATGCATTTATTTATCACCTAACAATGTTTTACATTTTTAGTTTGTCGTTTGTGGCATGCTCACATGCGCTGCAGGACAGTTTCCAAACATGCTGGTGGTACGTTGGTCATAGTTAAAAAAAAAAAAAAAAAGACATAATCTACAATAATACAGCAAATGTAAAAATATAATTAATGATATTACTTTTTTTTTCATAGTCAAAGTTGTCATTCTTCCTAAACATTGTGAGCTTCCTCTGGTCCATTGTGGCTTGTTCTTTGTGCTTTATTTGGTTTCTCTCATCTCACATCAGGCGATCAAAGGTAAATTGCTGCCCTTATATTGAAAGAGGCAGTGAAATATTTTTAAATAATGTGTTTATTTTACTTACCTTCATGTGTTTACACAGTTGCAAAATGGAGTGAATGGTCTGATAATGGGTCTTCTCGTTGTGGAAGATGTGATGGCCATTTTCCTGATGTATTGGTTAAGCAAAGCCGTGTGCCGGGACACCTTCAACAGTCTGGTATGATAACAACTTTGTACATCTGCAATTTAGGTAAAAAATACATAACTTTAATTCATATTTTCCCCCTGCAGCCGACAGTACTGCTCAAGCAAGGAGACTAAAAAAAAAAAAAAAAACACAAAAAATGTCCATTGTTTTGTCAGTTTAATCCAACTGTATTAGAGGGCTACACTTAGAATAGATAAGCTGTCATGTAAATCAGCAAGTTAGTTTCATTTATGTGATTGTCCATTGTTCATGAGATGACTGACAATATCCAGTTCCTATTTCTATTGCTCTTTTGTATAAAATTAAAAATAAATAGGCTACAGCGCATGCAAGTGTCTTTCTCCATGTTTGTATGTAACTAAAATCAAGAAACTTACACTAAAAAGGAAAAAAATCTTTGAACAATTTACCATACAGTAATAGTAATGGTATAATATTTTAATAAGGGTTAGAATAAAACAGACACCGGCAAAATTTAAATAGTAGGCCTAATAATTTTGTCCACCTTTGAGTTATTAATTTACCTCAACCACCACCATTTACTCTCTTATCCCTGGTTTTAGACTGGACCTGATAAAGCTCGGCTCCTGGGGTATAAAGAAAGCTAAATGGGTTTCTTTTTATTTTGGGTTGTACTTGATGTGAAATGTTTGACAATCACAGCACTAGACCACAAAGTTTAGAGAAAAATACTGACTATTTTTACTCTATACTCTATTTTTCCATTTTGGAGTAAATATTTGGGGACAATATAGAGTTAAACTATATAACTGAACGATTTCTTTCTGGTGGAGGTTCCACGCTTGTCTCCATGGATGGATGTTACTGATTTGCCTGGAATTTGCTAGTATGGCAAGAAAGTTTCTTCTTAAACACACCTTGAATAACATGCATTCTCACAATTAGATAGGCCACTGTGACACAGATCGGAGACCAGTAGGAGGCGTTAGATACTAGACACAGGGCTACCTTATTTTACATCTAAATTGGGCCACCCTACGCAGTCACTATGGACTATGAAAAAAGTGGAAGTTGCAAATACTTTCTTTCTTTCTTTTTGTTTTAAGACATAAGAATACGAAAAGAAGATTCTTCGACCATGGTTAGGAAGGTGGATACTGCCTTCTAGGAAAACCAGCTGAAAATAAACAGCTGAGGGGCTGAGTGTTTGTTAAAGGGGCCGGGCAGAGGTTACTCTACTGTGTGAGTGTTGCACTTGTGTTTAATCAATAACGGCCCCATGTGCTTTACAAAATAGAGCTGCATGAATTAGGCAGATTTACACAAAGATTTAACATATTTAAATGCCTGTGGAGGTAAAAGCATGTTTTGCCTCACAAGGGTACTGACACAATGATAGAAAAGTCTTATTTATTCTAATGACTGAGCTGGAGCTTTCAGACCATGGCCAATGTGTAGCGTGACCACTGTAGAAGCCGCTATGCATTCTTCTGAAGATATGCTAAATCGGGTCCATTTAAAGCCACCATCTGTCCCTTTGAATAGGGTTAAAAGTCCTTGCTGAAGAGGTCAACTCAAAACCAAGCGACACATGCAGGGCACATGATGTGGGTGATGTCTTCCGCCTTGAGACCCTCCCTAAAAAAGCTTTACACCAATCACAACCGAGAACTAAAACTTTCTATGGAAACTGTCAGCCCTCCTGTATTCCTCTAACCTCATTTCGCCTCAGTAATGTGATAAGGAACCGTGTAAGTTCAAATATTTACCCGAGGGCTTGTTGAATGCCCGGGTCGCGGATGTGGATCAGCCTCTATGCGCTTGTGAAGAGCTCCTGCCCCCGCTCCCGTCCTGCCGTGTCCCGCTATGGCGTACCGGGGCTCCCATACCCTCAGCAAAGATGATGTGAATTACAGAATGCATTTTCGCATGATCAACGAGCAGCAAGTGGAGGATATCACCATAGACTTTTTCTACAAACCCCACACGATAACGCTGCTGACATGCACCGTGCTCAGTTTGATGTATTTCGCCTTCACAAGGTGAGTGTTTTGGAGCTAGCGTTAGCATGTTAGCTCATGCTCCGCTAACTGTAACAGTGATGCTGTGACACCCGATTTACACAGGAAGGTTAGCTAGCTCTGTAGCTCCTCTTTACTTTTACTCTAACAAAAGCCGCCCAGCTCTAATAGGATTATCTCACTAAGTCTAAGTTAATCTTTCACTGCTAGCATTTGTCTACTATGAAATTAGGCGTTATTCATTTATTTTTGTAATGTTGTTTTAACATGTTTATAAACACAGAATGTGTAATGCATACCTTTACATGTCCTTTGACAGTAAGTCATGTTGACACCTGTATTATACTGTACAAACACCACAGTTGAACGAGTTATTTGTAAAGGATCAAATGACAGTGTTTTGTGAAGTGTTGTGAATAGCATTGTTCTTTTATATTTACAGAGATGATGGTAATCCTGACAATAATCTGTGGGTGGGGCTCATTTTGGTCATCTCATTTTTTCTTGTTATCAGTGTTTTGGCCTTTCCTAACGGTAAGATGATAATTACATGCAATTCACCATCAAATTATTTAATGTGTTTTTCAATCATTCAATCAATGTGTTTGCCTCTTCAGGTCCATTTACCAGACCACATCCAGCAATATGGCGTATAGTGTTTGGTGAGTATTGGCTATATCTCTTTGTTGTATCACATTTATAGCTCTACTTAATTCATCTGATTGCTGACCTTTGTGCTTTTATTTTTTGATATCTAGGTCTAAGTGTCCTCTACTTCCTGTTCCTGGTTTTTATTATATTCCTCAACTGGCAGCAGGTTAAGCAGCTTATGTACTGGCTAGATCCAAACTTAAGATATGCAAAAAGAGAAGCCGATATAATGGTTTGTAAAACAAGTACATAGACTGTTTATGTCCACATGTCATGAATTTAAGCTGTTTTTTAACTGTTTTGCCATCTGCAGGAATATGCTGTGAATTGCCATGTTATTACTTGGGAGAGGATTCTAAGTCATTTTGACATCTTTGCATTCAGCCATTTTTGGGGTTGGGGAATGAAGGCCCTCCTCATTAGAAGTTATGGCCTATGTTGGACTATCAGCATCACCTGGGAACTCACAGAGGTGTTTATTAGAACTGATTTCTGTTTATATCTAATATCAATTGCTTGACAAATGTATTTAGATTCTAATGAGATCTTTTTGTAGCTTTTCTTCATGCACCTTTTGCCTAATTTTGCTGAGTGCTGGTGGGATCAAGTTATTTTGGACATTCTGCTTTGTAATGGTGGTGGCATTTGGCTGGGGATGACTGTGTGCCGCTTTCTGGAGATGCGGACCTACCACTGGGCCAGCATTAAGTATGTCCCATAATCAAGATTTAGACTTATAGAAAGCAAGTAGGAAAATAATGTAATATTAAATGTACAAGATTTAATTATATACATTACATTACAGTATGTCAGTGTATAAAACTGTTAAGTATAATGAAAGCAGTTCTCACAATACAAAAATCTAAATTATCTTGATTTTTGGATCCTGTGATTTTTTTTATACCACTTTGATTCAATTTTCTTGTACAAATAGTCACCAGGCATCTATATTGAAAGTATTCAAACTAAGACTTAGACAAACTTTTATCCACAAGGAAAATTATTTGCACACACAAATTACAATATAACAGAACAGAATACTCAACTCAAATAATAATAGTCAAAAAAGACAAATTGTCAGTAGAAATATTTTTATAATTAATTTTACTCTACATCATGTTTATCCACAAAATAAAATGCAATAACTGTGTCTTGTTGCTTCTTTTCTCACTCAGGGACATTCACACGACCACAGGAAAAATCAAAAGAGCAGTGTTGCAGTTCACCCCTGCGAGCTGGACATATGTGCGCTGGCTCGACCCCAAATCGTCAGTCCAACGCGTGATGGGTGTCTATCTCTTCATGATCATCTGGCAGGTGTGTCTTTGCCCAAATCCTCTAAAGCCTTCTCCAAGTGATTTAAGCAGGGATCATCCTCTGTATTACTTGTGCTAAGTTCAGGCTAATCTAATTGCCTGCTGTCGAAATCTGACCCACGGATGGACTGTGCCTAATGAGCAATAGCCTTGCTGTCTGTGCCACATAATCAGTTTTATAACCAACTTTGCAAATGTATGTGTAACCAGAAGTTTATGGCAGGTATGTCCAAATTATGAACTGGGGGATAAATCCAACTCTTTTTGGATATTACAAATGTCCTTAATAACCTTTCAAAGGGTGCCAAAATGGTAATTGTCAGTAAGCGGCTATATTTAAAAAAAGTTAGAGACCTCTGTTTTATGGTATTTTGAGTTTAATAGCTGCTACTTAAAACTAATGAACTAAAACTAACTAGGTTGAGAGCTGAATTATGCTTTATATAAGATTTAAAAGCATATACTTGATAAGACAATTTCACACTTGAACACTTGTATTACTTGTAGCCTTGGCACTAATTATTCAGGATCAAATGCAAGAAATTATAATTTAAGTGGTCAGTGTACCTTGTCTGATACTCAACAGAACATTCAAATTTCCAAATCACAAAAAGCACATATTTAAAACTAACTGTGTCAATGGTTTCTCTTTTGTTATGTTTTACCTACAGCTAACAGAGTTGAACACATTCTTCTTGAAGCATATTTTTGTCTTTCCTGCCAGCCACGCTCTGAGCTGGTGCCGAATTTTATTTGTTGGCATCATCACAGCTCCAACAGTAAGGTAAAAGCAACTTTTTAAATTATCAATATATTAAATAAATGTATACACATTTATTCACATTTCTAATATTGTTACAGGCAGTATTACGCTTACCTGACAGACACACAGTGCAAGAGGGTTGGGACTCAGTGTTGGGTGTTTGGGTAAGCAACTAAAACCATTTTTCATTATAAATATGTTTATAACAAACCATAATGTTGTATGAGTCATGCTATGCAAATGTGTACTCTTTACCTCTAAGAGATTAACCTGGAAAAAACAGATTATGCTTCAGATTAATAAAATAAAATCTCTAATATGACTAAAAGCTTTAAATGTATTGATGTAACTGAACAATTTAATCAACTTCAGTACTCACTGTAATCTTACTTTGAAATGCTCTAAGTATTAAGATGTATTTCCTTTTTTAGGGCAATAGCTTTTCTGGAGGCCCTGGCATGTATTAAATTTGGGCAGGATCTTTTCTCAAAGACTCAAATTCTCTACGTAGTTTTGTGGCTTCTGTGTTTGGTAAGAATTTTGCAGCATATGAAATTTTGACTTTTTTTTACACTTCGTAGATTAATATAAAACAATTTACAAATACAAATACATGACAACGTGCATCTATTTTCAGGCCTTCATTACATTCCTCTGTCTATATGGGATGGTGTGGTGCGCTGAAACATATGGCCCAAAAGAAAGGGTTAGTTTTTTTCTCTTGAAATAATATGTAATAATAAGAACTTAAACATAGCAACATAAACTAAAATGTGAAAGCACACTATGTAGGTTTTCTGGTAAGGTGTCCACCACCTACTTGTGTCCTTGGAGATTGTATTACTGTGACTGAAATGTTGATCAGTACTTCTCTCCTACTGTGAGCAGACTCGCCTCTCCACAGATCTGAACTGTTACTTGGCCTGGTGGTATAATCAGTTTGTATCAGTAAAGATGGATAAGTTTAATGCCGTACTGTGGTAGAGGCAAAACAATAACATCCATAGAGACAACCAGAACAGTTACTTAGTTCAGTTTTTGTGCCATGTTTACATTTTAGTTTTTTTTACTATTGTTTCTATTGTTTATTCTTTTTTGCCTAAAACATATTTTATTTTTCCAGAATATGTCAGATTTTGATGACAGTAATTTTCCAGAATCTCCAGACTCTGAATCAGTAGAATTCAAAGGTACGTGATTTTTTTTGTACTTAATTATTATACAGTTGTCTTTTACCGCATGTATTAACGTGATTGAATAAAGTAGTTCAAAATTTTGCAGGTGATGCAGGGGAGCCAGAGGAGCACATTGAAAGCACAACCAGGCAGAGGAATATTGGAAGGACAAAATCCAATGGCCTGGACAGCCCACAGTAGGAGCTGAAATGCTGAAGGCAGCTTTTAAACTCAGCCTGCGGAGGGCGCTGTGAAGATCTGAGGAAGAATAATTTTGAACCTATCCACTAATCCAGTTGTACATGAAGTCCATGAAGTCCACTCATTAATATTAATGACGGTGGAGACAAATTAGTGGTCAGAAGGTGCTATTAACAAAGCACATATGCGTAGACGAAAGGGAGAAAGAGCCCTCCTATAACCCCATACACCACTAAATCACATTCACTTCGTGTGTATGTAAGAAAGAGTAATTGCATTTTTGTACCTTTACATTTATTTCTATTTGAGGGACTAATCAGTTTGGATTTCCTGTTGTTGAACTGTGGAGATTTGAGTGGGGACTAAACAGTGGACAGATATTTTACATTATTTGCATGAACATTATAGGCTATAAAATACAGTTTATTTACACTTCCATTGCTACATGCATCATATTACAGTGTAAGGACAAGTAATTGTTTATCAGGCTAGATTGTATGTTCTCTAGCGCAGAAAGTTGCTTCTTCAGTGCTCCATTGTGAACATGTTAAGATACATGTATAATATTTAAATGTGTCTGACGTTTATAACTTGAGTTGTGTACAGAGTTTTGACTGAACTAAGGATGACAAGATCTTTTTTTTAACTGAAACCAAACACAGAGAAACACACAGGTGAAGCACTTTTAATATGTTTTCATGAAAATACTGTACATTTTAAGTATTTTCTACTCCATTGTAACCTGAGTGATTTTACCTGCCTTGTCCCAAATGTTGCTGCTATAATTTAACAGAAAACTGAGATTCCTCTTGTGTTAAGGCATTGTTTTGTATATTCAAGTTGTTGAATATATATTTCATTAGCATGACTGTGACAAAGTATTTTAGTAGATAGATGTTACTGAAGTTGTTAAAGGGTCCGTTATTGCATTCACTCGATCACAGTATTGTTCACTGTCTTGTCATCTCACTCTTGCCTTACCTGTGTAGTTTTGTACCCTCAACTGCAGTCTTTATAATGCTTCATTACTAAAGAGTTTTCATCAGATGTTTGCGTCTTATATTCAGTTATTTATTATTTCATGACAATCCTGAAAGAGCTTTTTGTTCATTTTAAAGCGCAGCAACTGTACACTGTCAATGGGTTTCATTGCCAAAACATTTCATTTGTCTCACCTTTTTACTGTGAAATATTAAAATATTAAAGTGTTTTATATCCTATCTCTATGTGTTTATTACATTGATTTGATAAAGCTCAACTGCTCTCAATGATTTGCCACAGTAACCTATTGATTTCCTATCTATGTTTACATTATGAGTTAATAGTCCATAACGTAAGGTTGTGAAAGAGCATGAATCACCTTGCTTGTCCCTCTGAGAGCAGGAGACTGCAGTCTGGCTGTTTTGAGCTGTGCACGTGTGAGCTCAAATTTCCCTCTGTCCGCACATCACAGGACATAACAGACAGAAATAACTGCCTCGTGATGGCCCTTTATCATATTATTTTGAGTTTGTTTTACTTTATTACTGTTACAATTTTTATTAATAATTCACAGTAAATTACAAGACAATTTATAGGCGACTGTAAAGCAGTCCTGGTTGTAATATGTATAACTACTTATAGGCCTAACTTCTCAAAATGCCTTAAAAATCTAATGTTTACTTTATTTTATTGTTGAGTTAATGTACATCCTGTAGTGTCGTATTTAATATTGCGTATATAGTCTAAATATATATTGAAAACATGGCCAGGTGAGGGCAGCAGAGAGTCTTGTCATGTGACAGCCTGGGCCTACAGCACAGTGGATATGCAGTGCTTGTCAGTGTTTGCCTAGCCTATTACCTACTGTTCTCCTATTTTTTGTCTTTTGAATCCGCACCTCTTTATTTTGAACAAGGTGTATTTGATTCATGGCTAAGAAACTGAATTCTTCAAGTTGTGGCTCTGGACATGAGGTGGATATTGTCAAGGACATCCAGTTGAATCTCCTGGACTGTAAAGTCTGCTTTAAGGACTTTAACAAAGACTGCAGAGCCCGGCACCTTCTCTGCGGTCACGTCCTATGTCAGGAATGTGTTTCGGCCCTGTCCCACCCCGTCCTCAGGAAGCTGGAGTGCCCCTTCTGCAGACAGCTGTGCAGCCTGGACCAAACCTCCAACTGCCAAGTCCTAGCTGACCTGCAGGAGATGCTGTTGTTGCATGAATCCAGGTGTGCAGCACCACCCCATTGTGCAGAGGGGAGCCTGTGTTTAGAGAGAAGACTGGGGTCGACGCCTGCAGTTTTGGGTGGATGGGGTACTCTGATAAATCCAGTGGGACTTGATATATTAGGGTCAGTTGGAACAATAGTAATCGCACATGATGGGTTGCGTAGGATTGTGGTGTTAAGCTCAAAAGGGAAAATTCTGAACAGTTTTGGATCAAGAGGAAGAGAAACTAGGGACATTAGTTACCCATTGGATGTGGCTGTATGCCCTATGGGTCATGTGGTAGTAACAGATGGAGGAGATAGAGCAGTGAAGATCTACACATCCAGAGGAACGCATATAATCACAATCAAGGCCTCGTTTCAGCTTCCTTGGGGTGTGGACACAGACAAGAGTGGGAACATAGTTGTATCAGATGCCTTGGCTGGCTTTCTTTTTCAAATAAAAGTGGACTATAGTAACAGAGTTCGTTTTGACTGTCACATAGCTGTTTCTAACCTTGAGAATCCCAAAGCTGTAGCCTGTTGTGCCGTGACTGGAAATATTGCAACCATAGAGCATTTCAAGAGCAACCAACACACAAGACTAAATGTATTTACGAAGGACTTTCATATAATCTATCAGAACAACAGCTCTAACATAAGACTACATTTTGATGTCTGGATCCATGTGTCAGCTGTGACCTTTGACCCCAATGGTGATGTAATTGTGGTGGACAATATTCAAGGGACGATTTGGAGTTTGGGGAAACCTTGGCATGAGTTTGTTCCTGTACCTCTTCTGAGTGCCAATCTGATCAATCCAGTAGCATTGACATGGATAAACAACAAGCTCATTATCCTGGACAGTGGAGACCATACGGTGAAGATTTATAACGCTGTTTGCACCGAGTCGACTACCCAATAGCCAGTTTCCTACAAGATCTCTGTGATGGCTTCTGCGGAAATGTAGCCTGTGAAATATGAATTTGCTGTAATGGCCTATATGTGTGTTATAATTGTTATTAAAGGTTTAAAAGCCGAATTTGCTGAATGGTATGTATTTTATATCCCCTGCACATTACTGTATAGGCCTATTATTGTATGCTAATATGGCATTAAGCCTGGAATATCTTCAGTACTTTTAATGGTCTGATTTTAATGGTTTTAATGGTACAGTCTAGAATAGATTGATGGCATTTTCAGGCTTAAACATGCTTGTCTCCGAGATGTGATTGACTTAAATGTTTTACAGCAGGATATTAAACTTCTATAGGGACAAGCAGGTAATACCAAGTCAAGTTACAGGTCAGATCTGTAGGGAGGCAACCCTGCACACAATAAGAATTATTGTGTGACTATTTTTAAGACTATTTTTACTTTATTAATCTAATTATGCAAGATAGATAAATAGATAGATAGATAGATATGCACCAGAAAAGTTCCATAGTGCACCTTTAAAGTTGCTCCAGTTATCAGTAGGGCTATTAAACCATAACCATGTTGTTACTCTCACTTGTGAACGCCTGGAATGTGACATATTTGTTGTTGTAGATTGCTTTGGTTTAAGGAGTAGTCTTTTCAGTCCAGTCCAGTGTGAGATAGTGTTGTGTAATGCAATGTAATGTGAAAAAGAAACATCGAACCTACTTGTCATTTTGACCAGTCTTCTCTGGCCCCTCTGACCCAATCCTGCCCCCTCTCCCTCTCTCGCCTTCTCTCTCTGCTCCTCTGAGTCAGGTTCCTCTCTTTCTCTATCCCCCTCTCTCTGTTCCATAGCACCAGGGCCGTCTCACTCTCTCTTTCTCTCTCCCCTGTCTCTTTCTCTTCTCCAGTGCATCAGGTCCCTCTCTTTCTCCCCCTCTCACCTCTGGGCTGTCTCTCCCTCTCTTTCTCTCTCCCCTCTCTTTTGAGTCAGTTCTCTCTCTCTCCCCCTCTCTCATCTGGGCTGGAGCGCCCTTTTCTCTCTTTCCCTCTCCTTTTCTCTCCCCTCTCTCTTCCTCTCCCTCTGCTTCTGTGAGTCAGGTCCCTCTCTCTCCCCCTCTCTCCCCTCTGGGCCTCTCAATATCTCTTTCTCTCTCTCCTTTGGGTGGGCTGCCACTCTCTTTCTCTCTCCCCTTTCTCTCCTCCTCTCTCCTCTAAGCCGGTTCCTGAGCGGAGCTGCCTCTCCCTCTCTTTCTCTCTCCCCCCTCTCTCCCCATCTCTCCTCTGGGCTGGGGCCGCCTCTCTCTTTCTTTCTCTCTCCCTCCCCCCTTCTCTCTCTCTCTCTCTTCCCCTCTCTCTCTTTCTCTCTCGTCCCCCCCTTCTCTTTTTCTTTCCTTCTCTCTTTTGCCCTCTCCCTCTCTCTTTCTCTCTCCCCCTCTCTCCTCTAGGCCGGGCCGCCTCTCCCTGTCCCTCTCTCTCTCTCCCTCTATTTCTCCCTCTCTCTAACTCTCTTTCTCTCCCTCTCCCTCTTTCTCCCTCTCACCCACTTTCTCTCCCTCTCTTTCTCCCTCTCTCGCCCTCTACCTCTCTCTTCCTCTCCCTCTCTTTCTCCCTCGCCCTCTCTTTCTCTCTAACTCTCGTTCTTCCACTCTCTTTCTCTCCCTCTCTCTCCCCCTCTCTTCTTTGGGCCGAGGCCGCCTCTCCCTCTCCCTCTTTCTCCCTGTCTTTCTCTCTAACTCTTTTCTCTCGCTCCTTCTCCTTCTCCCCTTTCTCTCCCCCTCTTTCTCTCACTCCCCCTCTCTTCTCTGGAACGAGGCCGCCTCTCTCTCTCTCTCTTTCCTCTCTCTTTCCCCTTTCCCCCTCTCTCTCCCTCCCTCTCTCTTCCTCTCCCTCTCTTTCTCCCTCACCCTCTCTTTCTCTTCTAACTCTCTTTCTCTCCCTCTCTCTCCTCCCCTCTCTTCTTTGGGCCGGGGCCGCCTCTCCCTCTCCCTCTTTCTCCCTGTCTTTCTCTCCAACTCTTTTTCTCTGTCTCCTTCTCCCCCTTTCTCTCCCTTTCTTTCTCTCACTCCCCCTCTCTTCTCTGGAACGAGGCCGCCTCTCTCTCTCTCTTTCCTCTCTCTTTCCCTCTCTCTCTCCCCCTCTCTTTCTCTTCTAACTCTCTTTCCCCTCTCCCTCTCTTTCTCTCCCTCTCTCTCCCCCTCTCTTCTTTGGGCCGGGGCCGCCTCTCCCTCTCCCTCTTTATCCCAACTCTTTTTCTCTGTCTCCTTCTCCCCCTTTCTCTCCCTTTCTTTCTCTCACTCCCCCTCTCTTCTCTGGAACGAGGCCGCCTCTTTCTCTCTCTACTCTCTCTTTTTCCCCTCTCTCTCTCTCTCTCTCTCTCTCTCCTCTCTCTCTCTTCCTCTCCTCTCTTTCTCCTCACCCTCTCTTTCTCTTCTAACTCTCTTTCCCCTCTCCCTCTCTTTCTCTCCCTCTCTCTCCCCTCTCTTCTTTGGGCCGGGGCCGCTCTCCCCTCTCTTCCCTCTTTCTCCCAACTCTTTTTCTCTGTCTCCTTCTCCCCCTTTCTCTCCCTTTCTTTCTCTCACTCCCCCTCTCTTCTCTGGAACGAGGCCGCCTCTTTCTCTCTCTACCTCTCTCTTTTCCCCCCTCTCCCTCTCTCTCTCCCTCCCTCTCTCCCACCCTCTCTCTCCGGTCGGCCAGAGGAGAGCAGTCGTGCTCCCAGCGGAAGATGGCGGTGGGGATGCTGTGCGGGGCTGGATTTAAGAACAAGGTTTTTGCACAGGAAGAACCGAGGCGGAATGGATCTAAAACTAAACATGGACTATTCCCCGCGTGAGACACTCGAGCTGCGGACTCTTGGACTGCTTTGATTGGGCTCGCCTGCCTCTTTTGTGTCCGAAATCCGCGGCTGCTCCTCGGGCAGCGTACACAGATAGCTCGGCGCATAGACAGACAGGGTGGGAGTGAGAGAAGTGGACAAAAATGTCGGATACAAAGGTAAAAGTTGCGGTGAGAGTTCGGCCCATGAACCGCAGGGGTAAGTGCACTGTCGATGCAAACTGTTTACAAGTCCATAGTCAACCCACTTTGCGCTAATGCTAAGTTTTTGCAAAGTTTTCGCTTAGGCTCATATGCAACTCAAGTGTTATGCAGAAGAGTGTACGCGCGGTCAAATCAGCTTGTGTCTAACTTTTGATACACCCACACAATTACTTTTATGCATATAACAAAACTTCTCCCTGCAGAAATTGAACTCAATACAAAATGTGTCGTCGACATGGAGGACAACCAGACAGTTTTACACCCCCCAACATCCAATGGAAAAGGAGAAAACAGGTAAGCAATCCAAAACTATATTTCACTTTGGGAACAAATTTTGTCATTGTTATTACAGACAAAAAGAAAACATAGTTAAAGATAATAGGTATGTGATCTATGAAAAATAATAGCCCATGACTCTGACTATGACCTAGCAAATATATTGATAGTATCCCATGCCAATTTAAGTTTAATTACAGTGTTATATGCTGATTAAAATCCAATCATGGCCACAAATCTGTAGAAATGCATGACTAAAACTTGTTTCTGTTAGTGCCTAGACAACCAGACAGTCACCCACCTGCTTGCAACATGATATATTGTTATGTAATCTTCGGTAAAGTTTGCTTTGCTTTGGTTTGGTTTGAAGCCTGCTCGTTGTCTAATAATAGTATTCACATTTTCTACCTGTTGTTTAGTTTAAAGCTTGTTGTGGTTGTTGAGACTTTGACAGGTTGATGTGGGGCCTCGGGCAATAGGTGCGTATAAGCAGAGCCTGTAATCATACATTTAGACATGCTGAAATCCTAGAAGCGTTAAAAGACAGTGCAAACATACGCAAATGCAATAAATGACTAGGTTTAAATCGATATCTTGTAAAAACAACTAAGTAATGGTGTCATGATGTCCGGATATGGTCCAGTAATGATGGTCTTAATTTGTGAACTCATGGAAATTGTTGGTTTGCTAATATCTCCCCCACCCATCTCATTTCTTGCACTTGTACGTCACTGTTGTACAGTCTGGCTGCTTCTCTCTTCTTCACACATGATTTGACAGCTGACCTGATTACCCACAGGCGCAAATAAATCAAATAAAGTAGTTCTTAAGGAAAAGACGTTATTTGTTATGTCATCTGAATCAGCAGTAATAGCTGTTTTGAGTTGTTGGCAAGAGGCTTTAATGAGAACCAAATGGGTGGCAGGGTTGAACGTTTCTCATGGTATTTCTTGTTAAAGTGTAACACGCTCTCTAATGCATGTAACAGTCGGAATTTGTGTGTATTTAGAGCAATTATCAGAGCAAAACATTAACCAACTATGCAGGATGTCGAAATAGTCAAATCTACTCTGACTAAAAACGAAACTTTTTAAAATCTTTATGTGATTTTTTGTGTGTGTTGTGTTTAATTTTGTAACACATTTTGTAATCTTTCATATTTATTTTTCTTCCTTTTGAGTGCTTGACGTGATGTGCTGTTATGTTTTCCAAGTCCATGCACCTTCACAGACTAAAATAACTTCCCTTATGATACACTTACCAACCTTGATTCCTGCAACTATTGTTTTTAACCTCATTTACGCTGCTTCATTCTTTAATGTACCAGTATCTGAGGTGTAGTGGCATTTTTTTTTTTGCTCAAACAAACATAGCTTTTCCAATTTTCAAACCCATTCCACCCATTTTAATTACAAGTTATACAACATGAAATACCAAGACTAAGTTCCCCAAATATATATACTGTATATGGGACAACAACACACAGTGGTGATTGATAGGTTCATTGTTTGAGCACTGCTACATCTGCATTGCTGTCTCTTCCAGGTGCTTGGATTTGTGCCCAGTTATTTCCATTGCTACCTATTTCCATGCTATTGAGCAGAGCACAACTTAACAGAACTCATTTCCATAGTAACCTATACAGCTGACTCTCACTGTGGTGGGTTATTGTTGGATATGATCTAATACCTGGGAGCTCTCGTATTTAACATTTGTTTAATGTGTACATAGTTTAACTCAGGTAGTCCTCCTGGCAGAATCTTTTAATCTTGGGTTTTCCCTTGGATTTGGAATTTTTTGGGTCAGTGTTTTGTTTTATTCACAGAAAGATTTGGTGCTGTTCCAGAAGATGAAAACGTTTGATAAACCATCTAGACTTTGTATTTGAACCTGAATTGTAGTATTTTAATATTTGTCTCTTTAGTTAACTATATATTTTTGAAATCTTCTCATATTTGTATTGGTTTTAGGATGCAGTGCTTGTGCTCGGTGATTTAGGCCTCTGTGTTTAGGCTGCCATGGTTTTACTAAAACCTTATAATTTTACTCTGTGCTGCAGTGGATCCGCAGTAGGGAATACCCTGATCATTTTGACTGGGCTTCGACACCTGTTCCTGTGTGCTGGCATTGCCTCAGAATTAGAGTATTAGTGTGCCAAATGTGCCCTCAGGGCCCACCGTCATGAGAAACAGTCTCGTGAGAATGTTTGATTGCGGGCTGAAAAAGGAGCTGCAGTAATAGATATTTTTGTACTTGGATCTAAACTGGCTTGAACTCCTGCCTGGAGATTTTGTAACATTTGATTGATTGATGCAACTTTGAACCTAACTATTTTACAAAGCATGTCGCTACACATTTCCAGTAGACCACACAGTTAGCTTTGTAAAGCATTCCAAGAGATGTGAGGGATTTTCTTCTGATACTTAAGCCCAGTCTTTGCACAAGTATTATAGGCATTATGGCACACTCGTGATCGCCACAGAGCACCCAGCCCTGAGAAATGAACTATAATCTGAGTTAATGAAACCAGGACTGTGACTGACTGACTGTGATAGGTTCAGTTACCTTATGTTTTCACTGCAAGTTCCCCAGTGTTATCTTTCATCCGTCAGTAAAGCTAACTCCATATGGATGGCATATGACAGTGGGGGTGGAGTACTAAACCAGACCCAAACAGGGATTAAACAAGGTCAAGACTTTTCATTTATTTCAGAGTGATAATAGCTTAGCATCTTTTTGACAAAAATCCTCAAAATATCAAACGCTTGAATAGGACTAAAAATGGACTGAACCATCTCTAAACTAACTTAACTTGTCATAAACTAGGACTAAATAATCTAGAACTAAATTATCAGAATCGGCAATAATCCAGCACAAAACTAGGACTACACCCAGACTAAACCAGGGCTACTCCAGGACTAAACTAACACCAAACCAGGACCATGCATGGTTTAAACTAGGATCCATCTGGACTAAACCAGGTCCAAACTTTCAGGTGTCAGTCTGCGGTGTGGGTTTACAGATAATAGAGTTGAGGGTGGAGGGGGAGGGAGACCTGAGGCGGCTGCCTGTTTTTGGGGGTGAGTGGTGGTGACACATCGTGACAGGAAAATACCCTTGGACTCGTTTATCATGCCTCTACATGTTCATGAACACTGCTCAGAGATTAAGACAGCACAGACATTTTGGTTTGTAAGTAGAGATGCGGATACCATTATCAGTTATCAGTGCATCTCTGCTACTTTTGGTTTTCTTCATTTTGGTTTGTTTTGTGATTCTTATTAAGAAATCTGTCTAAAGCAGGCTTTTGTTATTTCTGAGACTATTTTGTGATACCTATATTACAGTGACAGGCCCTAGTTTGACTCATAAGACTTAAATGTGCACTATGTAACGTTTCTGATAGAGGATCTGTCACTTGCTTGCCTCCGGGGAAATCTCACTGCTTTTCCTCTTGCATTTATTTAACTACAGGTGTTTTGATTGATAACAAATACTCCTTTGCCTGCACTGAAAAACATACATTTACATCATACAGTAAGAATGTACAGCTCTCCACAGATATGACTGGTAACTTGACCTGGTGGTATTGTCTCCTTGTCTACTTGACAGGCAGATAGTAGATCCTCCACCAAAAAACTGACATATGACTTACTAGATCAACATATTTGTCTATATTTATATATCTGTTTAACTGAATATATTAAAACTCTTATGATTGTTGATACATGGTTTATCTTTTCATATTGAAAAGCCATAGTTTAGTGTATTTTTTTTCTTCACTTTTGCTACAGTCTAGTTTAGATGAACATCTAACACTAATGATGCTTGAAACTGTGTAATTTTTTCCCCTATTATGCCTTCCTTATCACAAATGGTAACAAGAAGTTCATGTTTATCTCCGCTTGAGTGCTATCTTGTTTTCATTATTGTAATCTGGAAAAGTTAAGAGAGAATCGCCACTGACTGTCCCATGGGAGGCCTGCATTCTTCAACAGTGTGGGTCACATCTGTGTTTTGACTATTATGGACAGACTATAATAATGCTTATAATCTTTTTTCTATTGAAAATGTGGTCTTTGACCTGTCATTATGACACGTTTTGAAGAGAGAGATATTGTTTCAGAAAATATATGCCATTGACACAACTCTAAAGCAGGATAATTCCAGTAAAACCATTTTCTAAAGTTACAGTATCTTTGAAAACATGAGCTGCACTGACTCTTTAGCATTGGCCTGTATCTAATAGATACAGATAGTTTCTACAGCTAGAAATCTTAATGTAAAATATGCAATCTTAACATAAAACATGGAAACAAATGCTGAAAATATTGAGTTCCCCCAAAAATATTTTCCATCATCTATCCAATCCACTTTTACTTCTATAGCGCATTTGACAAAAAATAAATAAATACATCAACTACCAGTACTTACACGCACGATAAATTAAACCACAAAATAGAATGCTAATAATAAAACACAATTGTTGAACAAAAAGTCAGTATATAATTGTAATGTGATCATGCCAGACTTTCAGATGGATAGCAAGAGCTAGAGTTCCCTATTGCTTAAACTGTACTTTTTGATGGAATATCTAAAGTAAAATTCACAAATGTTGAACCTGATGAGTGACTCAGCTGATTAATTTCCTGTATTACAGCAGCAATTCAGTATTCATCCGATCTATATCAAATATTATTGTCCTATAATATTGTGTCATCTGAAATCTAGCCTATGGGATTGTGTTTTGGTGAAGGGAGAGTCGCATAAGGGCCACTCAATCCAAAACAAGCCAAATGACAATGGTGTCTCGTCCAGTGGCCACCCTCAGGAATGTTGCCTTTGTATTCAACTGTGAGCAAAATTTCACTGTTTCCATTCTCTGAGGCATCTTTCACACTTTTCTTATTCGGAGAAAGTATAGTTCAGTGATTGGCCTTTGTTTTGTTTTGGGGGGGGTGGGAAGTTGTTTACATCCTGAGCCGGAATTTCGATTTTTTTTTTGCCCTTTGTTAGCG